TAAGTAAGAAAAGCAAAAAGACTTTTCTGATACTTTCAACACATTTTAAAATCATCAACTTGAAAGGGCTTCTTTTACTATTATTACTCCTGGCTTTCTCTTGTCCTCAAAGTGATTTTAAGCATTAGTTTTAAATTTTGGTGGATGTATCTGACATAAATAAAACGTCTTCTCGCTGTCACTAGTTGTCAACTTTTTGCTCCTTTCATTGTTGTATACTTTATTATGGTCAAAGACCAGTAAACTCCTTTCATTGTTGATAACTGCCTCATTTTGAGTCATCTTTAGTATCTAAGGAAATAATCTTAGAAACAGCAAAGCTACAAAGTTCCCACAACCAGTAAGACACAGTGAGGCTTAAATCTCAATACCAATTAACAAGTTGCAAGCTATGCAAGACCTCTATTCTTCATAGCTGGGCTATTTTCGAGGCAAAGATCATTGTCTTTTAAAGACATGGCTGTTGTATAACTTATCAGTTCCACAGACTTTAGCAAAATTACTTTAATTTCTAATATACAAAGACTTTATTCTTTCTTCTAATACACGTTTCAATAGACTCCTTTCTATAAAATGTGATTGTACATAATAAAAATGTATGCATGAAAGGTATTTCCATGAGAAAGGCACTGCATACTTGGATGTAGATTATAACATGTGATGACTTTACAAGTGTATGAATTGTTCTATGTAGAAAATTCACAGCCAGTTTCCTCGTATGCCCAGTGGCATATACACTGAAAGATCTAATGCTATGATGCACCCATGAAACGGATGAAGTAAGAACTCCTTACTAAGATTTTCTTTTCTACTGAACTAATTGGTTGTGGTCTGGCATTTCACATCTTTGTTTGTATTTACATTCTTCAATAATCCTCATTCCTGGTCATCCTCTTTCCATAAAATACAGCTTTTTCTTGCAGAAGCCATGCATAGTTTTTTTTTTGTGTGTGCCAATAAGTTACAATTTCTTTGCAGAGCATGAGAACAGGTAAATGTCAGTGTTCATCAGTATGAGTCTTCAAAGAAGCTGCAGGACATTATGAATCAGGGAATATTCAGAGAACAGTGTGCTCAGGGCTTAGTTACAAGTGCAATAAAATTATTTTTAGAGCCAGAAGGTCCACCTGAGAACTATTATGTCAGAACTGACCTATCAGAGATTATGTAGTAACTAGAGATGACTCATGCCGTGCATTCCCTCTGACCAACCCCCCCCCCTCGGCCTGCTGCCTACCTCACAAGCCTCCACACGCTGCCTGGGTCGTCCTCCATCACCAGCTTCCCCATACAGGAAGTGGGTCAGGCTGCCCTTCCCCACCTCCACCAGCAGCCGACCACTCAGGCAAGGAGACGGGATGAGGAGTCTCAACAGCGCAGCTGTCGAGTGGTCGGCTGCCAGAAGAGGTGGGGAAGGGCAGCCTGAGCTCCTTCCCGGACTGGGCAGCTGGCAACAGTGGATGACCCAGGCAGCACACAGAGGCTTGTGAGCGAGCCAGTCAGCCAGCCGGGGGGGGGGAGTGGGAGGGAATGCGCAGTAGCTGTGCTGCCATGCAGCATGAGTCATACGATGCAGCCCAACTTAAGCCATGCCTATCTCTAGTAATAACTCTTCCCTGGATATATACCTTCACCACTCACAGCTGCGATACTTTGACAACTCACTTGTGTATGTGAAAACACACCTTGAATATTACTACTGAAATATTATGTACAAATACTTTGGAGTATTTCAACCATATATGGATGCCTTCTACTCAACAAGATACCAATATCCTCGATTCTTACATTTGGTTGCTCAAATTTTTTACAGCAAATCTAAAAACCAGGGATTCTCAATACAAAGAAACTGGATTGGGAAAAGCAAGCAATGAGAATGTAATTCTTGCAGCATTTTGAAGGCAAGTGCTGGCAGTAAGAACAGAAGCTTGCACTGAATCTTCAAAAATACTTCCGCTTTATAACCAGAATAAAATTAACTCTGTCACAACCAGATTTCAAACCCGCTGTCTTCTTGTCCAACTGATGCTAGAATGGATGGCTGAATTTAAAGCAGGAGGTCAGCATACCACATCTCCCATTTTCAGATAAATATTCTGTGTCTTCCTTGCTGCTAGGCAACAATTCAGAGCCTTCTTAAACTGGACTTCAGACTACTTTGTCATTGACAAAAGGAGATTTACCTGAAAGACACAATGCTTATTTGAGAAGTTCTTTCCAGTTTCCAAAGGGTGACTGACACAGGCACAACTGCTGTAGGGGGCTTCACAGTTACACCTGCAATGCTTTCCATCGCAAGCTCCTTTCAGAACATTTCCCCTTCGGCTCTGGAAAACATTCTTTTAATTATTTGGAAAGCTAGTTCATATTCCATCTAGATCTACACCTGAGATAAAATATTTTAAGTGAGTATTTCTGTAGAGGACTCTCCTTGCTATCCCTGAACCCACTCCTGATCAGCGGTTCTGACACAAAAAGCATAAAAGGTACTTCTTGGGCCCATCCCACCTTCCTCTCTGAAAAGCCTTTCATCTTCACTTTCCTCTGAAAGAGTTGATAAGTGGAAGATGAAAACTATTGTACTGGGATCAAGATGGCAAATTTCATTTTAAGGGTATCTGGGGCATGAATCTTTAAATTCTAAAGTTGCATTGGAAAGCTAATGAATTCTCCTACAAGAGATGAGTAAGGTCTTGTCCATACTATGCCCATGCTATAAGCATGTTTTTCATGGATTCCTGTCCCCATTCTTCCTCTACAGTTAGTTAGTTAGTTAATTAGTTAGTTAACAGACAGACAGACAGACAGACAGACAGACAGACAGACATAGAGGCATCAAGAGGGCATAAAAGTGCTAAACATCCTTAAAGAGACAACGGTTCATCTCCTAACAATAGTATCAAGGAAGTCTGCAACTCCTTCTACAATATCTGTCATTTCAGCTGCCAGCATATAGCACACTTTATCCAGATCTGACCTCCCTTCCAGCTTTAATAAAATTGAGGCTATCAACCTTGATCGGCCAATCAAGCGAAGCGGGCAGTGCAAAAACATGTGAACAAGGGTTTCCAGCAACCCCTGCTCACATGGGTAGTGCCTTTCAGAATAGGGAACTGCATTAAATCTGCCATATAATATAGCAGTAGGCATGACATTGCATCTGGCCAAAGAAAAGGCCCTACATTTTGGGGGGCAGCTGAGCAAGGAAAAGTAGGCAGCAGGTTGACCCGTTTTAGGAGGAATATGGAAAAACAACAGTGAACAGAATTTATTGGCAGCACTACAAGGGTCCTGGAATTCAATATCCAAAATTCTTCTTTAATTATTTGGAAAGTTAGTTCATGTTCCATCTAGATCTACACCTGAAATAAAATATTTTAAGTGAGTATTTCTGTAGACAGGATAAAGTGATTGAAAGTATTTCCTTAATTGCCTCTGCAACCAACACCTCAGACCCATCCTGGACCACAAACTCCATGGATTCCATTGAGCAGCAACCAGAGAGACACTGCTGGATGGTGCAGGATAGTGAGTCTTTGTTACTGGCCTCTCCGTTTGCCAGAGAGGTCTGTACCTGCTGCGAACACTGGAAACCCCTAGTGGGCCAATATTTACATGGCCTGGTCTTAATCACCTTAATCACCATCTGCAAAAAATACCTTGTAAGCTTTCAATTCAACAATCAGGTGGAGACTCAAGCAAAGATACAGAACAGCTTCAGAAACAGAGAAAGCAAGGACTTTATACCTGTTCCATTGACGGGCAAGCTATGATCTGGAGATCTTCATTGCTGTATTCTTCTTTCAGCAGAGCATGCAGCTTCTGAAACACTTGCTGAATATTGTTCTTATGAAGAAGAAAAAGTTATACTTGAACTTTCATTACGTTAAAATTAGCCTTCAAACATGATTACATATAGACATGGATCAAAGACTATGTTCATCATGTTTTATTCTCCCCTGACATAAATGGAATAAGTCAGTCATGACTAATTCTCTTTAATTGTAATAAGACTGCAGTGTGACCAACCTATTTTGCATTTGCAGCACTATTATTCTACTTGTGGAATCCTTAATAAATTAAGGTGGGTTGTGAACTTTGGTTTTGGTCACTTCTCCCTATTCACAGCAAGCACTAGAAACATTCAGGTACCAGAGATGCTGCTCTGGAAAGACGGAGATGTGGAATCCTCCAGCCCAAATACGGCTTGCAAGAAGCAATTCTGCGAGAAACCCCTTCCCCTCTCATAAACAATGGAAGTCAAGACGTCTTCCCTCCTTCCTTATAGCAGTGGAGATTTTTTTTAAAAGCCCTAAATCCCTGTAGGGAAGCATTACAGAAAAGTCACTGGGGAGAAAGCTAACCATCCCCTCTCCCGTTCTGTGACCATGATCTGAGAAATCACCCCACCCCTGTTAAAATCAGGTTATTTAAAAACTCTGGAGTAGGGGCAAGGAAAAGAAGAAGGACCCTCATGACACCTCCATTAAAAAAACATCCTGGCTTTTAAAAAGACTCCATTGGCCTGACTCTTTTGGGTATGGCTCTGCCCACTAGCGCTCGTGTAGAATCAAGCTTGCAGGGTGCTTGCAGAGCTTAAAGAAGTGAACACAAACTATATTAATACAATAAATCTGCCCTCTTTCTTCAACCACCACCTTTTACAACCAAAGCCAGGAACCTCTGGATCACAGCACAATTGTTTTGGTCCTATTAAACAAAACTAGAACCAAATCAGGCAGGAAAAAGAAGAAGAAGAGGGTGGTAGGAGTGGCGGTAGAAGAAGCTGCTGCAATAAAATACTGCCTTTTGGCTACCGGAAAAAAATGTGTATGACGCTCCAAGGCTGAAGAACCTTCAGGCCACTTGAAAATATAGAAGCAAGCACTCATCCTGGAGAAGGTGTCTGATTTCACAAAAATCACCAAAGAGATGCATTGTAAAGTTCATGGATGGGGGACAAGTCAGGCAAATGCAAACATTTATTGCATTAAAATATAGCAGATTTCTAAAATTGGAAAACTCTGAAAATTTGTATTTTGGAATGAACAGTTTTAAAAAAACCTGTACAACTGTTTTGTGAAAAAGAATGCAATGGTACGAAAATACTTACCCTTACTGGCTTAAACAAAATGAATTCTGTATCTTTGTTGGATAAATACAGGGACATGCTCTGTAATGTGGCTGGCAGTTTTGTTTTTATTGTCCTGTACGTTGAAGACACCAAGTCACCGACTTTGGCTAGAAATTCAATAAAATATTAAGTGTCACAAAATTTGCCACTCTGAAGTGAACAGAAAGAAAAAAAACATCATTCTCAAGAAGACAGATGTTATAACACATGGTTTAAATTTATTATATATGCAAACAGAACAAAGACTCTCTGTTTCCTCTACAGTCTCATGGGGATCTGTGGAAGGAGGTCCTGAGCTAGCCTAGATGTCACTGAAATCTTGTTATGACCTCTTTATATACAGTCAAGGAAGCGTAATGCCTGTGTGATTCAATATCCTCCATTTGTTTTGCTCTGTTTCGTTGTTTCCCAGTCTTCATTGTTGTGCATTGCAAAACTAATAAACATATATTTTGAAAAAATGAATAGGGAAGTAGTAAGCAGGTAAAAAATTAAGCCAAGCCCTCTTCCTTTGTTTAGTCTGACGAACACTCTCTCACATACTGTACAATAAAGAAGCTACATATCTTTCTCACACACACCCACTCAAAATGCTTAATTAAAATATCATATCCCTCCCCCCAATTTCTCAAGGTCAAGCATTCTTAAATCTTTCAACCATTCCTTCTAAGCCCTGGCACACCCACGCAGTCTCCGGACATGCTCCCATCTGACTGTGTCCTTGCTACAATATGCCACATAACAAGGGATGCCCAGAAGTGGGCAGAGTACTCCAGAAGAAGCCGACGGGTGCAGAATGGAGCAGAACTACTACTTCTTGTGATCTGGACTCTACGCAGCCTAAAACTTTACAAGTCTTTTAGCACATGCACCATATTATGTAATCATAGTCAACCTATGACCACCTGTTGGCATCTGGATTGTTTCCACATCTACTGTTGCCAAATCAAGTCTCGCCCATCCTTTGATTTGTCCTATGTTAACATAAGGCTTTACATTTAACTTTACTGGGTGTCATGAAACTACCAATAGCATGTTGAAACTTCATTCTCTTTTTTTCAACTATCCCTGCAAATGTAATAGGCATGCCTTATACAACTTAATCAAAGTCCTTTATACAGATGTCAAACAGCACTGTAGCACTCCACTAGGTATATCCTTTGAGGTCAATAATGAGCACACCACATAGTGTGGTTGTTCTATCAGCTACAGGATCTTCTAGCTCATATTTTATATGCCTGTCAACATGGACAAAGCAGGGGATTTTGTTAAATGTTTGGCTGAAATCATGATATATTATATTAATGGCACTGGGATGAGTACTTATTTGAAGAGATGACAGCCAAGTTAAGATGAGATGAGACTATGCAAAAGCCTTTGACTGTGTGGCTCACAGCAAACTATGACAAGTCCTTAAAGAAATGGGAGTCCCTGACCACCTTATCCATCTCCTGAGAAATCTATATGTGGGACGTGAAGCAACAATTAGAACTGGATATGGAACAACTGATTGGTTCAAAATTGGGAAAGGCGTACGACAAGGCTGTTTATTGTCTCCCTGCTTATTTAACTTATATGCAGAACACATCATGCAAAAGACTGGACTGGATGAATCCCAAGCTGGCATTAAGATTTCCAGAAGAAATATCAATAAGCTCAGATATGCAGACGATACCATTCTGATGGCAGAAAGTGAAGAGGAATTAAAGAACCTCGTAATGAGGGTGAAAGAGGAGAGCACAAAAAGTGGTCTGAAGCTCAACATCAAAAAACAAACCAAACCAAAACCACCTAAGATCATGGCCACTGGTTCCATCACCTCCGGGCAAATAGACGGGGGAGATATGGAGGCATTGACAGATTTTACTTTTTTGGGCTCCATGATCACTGCACATGGTGACAGCAGCCACGAACTTAAAAGATGCCTGCTTCTTAGGAGGAAAGCGATGACACACCTAGACAACATCTTAAAAAGCAGAGACATCACCGCATAGGTCTGCATAGTTAAAGCTATGGTTTTTCCAGTAGTGATGTATGGAAGTGAGAACTGGACCATAAAGAAAGCTGACCGCCGAAGAATTGATACTTTTGAATTGTGGTGCTGGAGGAGACTCTTGAGAGTCCCCTGGACTGCAAGGAGAACAAACCTATCCATTCTGAAGGAAATCAACCCTGAGTGCTCACTGGAAGGACAGATCCTGAAGCTGAGGCTCCAATACTTTGGCCATCTCACAAGAAGAGAAGACGCCCTGGAAAAGATCCTGATGTTGGGAAAATGTGAAGGCAAGAGGAGAAGGGGACGACAGAGGATGAGATGGCTGGACAGTGTCATCGAAGCTACCAACATGAATTTGACCCAACTCCAGGAGGCAGTGGAAGACAGGAAGGCCTGGTGTGCTCTGGTCCATGGGGTCACAGAGTCGGACATGACTTAACAACTAAACAACAACATGTGCTTAAAACAGGGGTGCTTGTTTAAAATAAGGTGGACCTTCAACCTAATTCCTGTGGCTTTCTATTAGTAGTAAGTTTAGACCTCTGACAAAAGCAATGAGATTATCCCCAAGGGAATGTAGTCTGCAAGAGAAGAAAGGCTGCCTTCTCTTGGAGTACAAAGCAGTAATAAACTTTGCAAGACTCAGTAACTTGTGACCACTGTCAGTCAAGATAAGCATATTCTACTGGTTATAGAGAGACTACCTGGTTGTGCCCATGGCTGCTGCAAGAGGTTGTACTTGGGACCTTTCTGAGTAGCCACTGTCTTCAGAGCAGAAACCTAAAATAATGAGATCAAGAGAACAGGAATTACACTGAATAATATTTACCATACAGATCTCCAGGAATAGCTACAACAGCCTATAAAACCGGTATTATCATTGTCCCAATAGGGAGACGGTGACCAAAAGATTAGTATGCCAATACACTTATGGTGAAGGTTCATTGTTGACTGTGGAGCAGGAGATATCCAGGTGTTGATAAGTTGTTGACCTTGCTCCCAGTTCTGACATATTGTATGACTCAGAATGGCTGCATTAGTGGTTCCCCACCTTGGGTCTCCAGATATTCTTGGACTACAACTCCCAGAGATCCTGGCCAGCACATCTAGTAGTGAAAGCTTATGGGAGTTTTAGGCTGGAACCACTGAGCTAGAACAAGCAGTTGACAGAAACATTTACTTTTTTGGGCTCCATGATCACTGCACATGGTGACAGCAGCCACGAACTTAAAAGATGCCTGCTTCTTAGGAGGAAAGCGATGACACACCTAGACAACATCTTAAAAAGCAGAGACATCACCGCATAGGTCTGCATAGTTAAAGCTATGGTTTTTCCAGTAGTGATGTATGGAAGTGAGAACTGGACCATAAAGAAAGCTGACCGCCGAAGAATTGATACTTTTGAATTGTGGTGCTGGAGGAGACTCTTGAGAGTCCCCTGGACTGCAAGGAGAACAAACCTATCCATTCTGAAGGAAATCAACCCTGAGTGCTCACTGGAAGGACAGATCCTGAAGCTGAGGCTCCAATACTTTGGCCATCTCACAAGAAGAGAAGACGCCCTGGAAAAGATCCTGATGTTGGGAAAATGTGAAGGCAAGAGGAGAAGGGGACGACAGAGGATGAGATGGCTGGACAGTGTCATCGAAGCTACCAACATGAATTTGACCCAACTCCAGGAGGCAGTGGAAGACAGGAAGGCCTGGTGTGCTCTGGTCCATGGGGTCACAGAGTCGGACATGACTTAACAACTAAACAACAACATGTGCTTAAAACAGGGGTGCTTGTTTAAAATAAGGTGGACCTTCAACCTAATTCCTGTGGCTTTCTATTAGTAGTAAGTTTAGACCTCTGACAAAAGCAATGAGATTATCCCCAAGGGAATGTAGTCTGCAAGAGAAGAAAGGCTGCCTTCTCTTGGAATACAAAGCAGTAATAAATCTTACAATTCAAGACTCAGTAACTTGTGGCCACTGTCAGGCAAGATAAGCATATTCTACTGGCTATAGAGAGACTACCTGGTTGTGCCCATGGCTGCTGCAAGAGGTTGTACTTGGGACCTTTCTGAGTAGCCACTGTCTTCAGAGCAGAAACCTAAAATAATGAGATCAAGAGAACAGGAATTACACTGAATAATATTTACCATACAGATCTCCAGGAATAGCTACAACAGCCTATAAAACCGGTATTATCATTGTCCCAATAGGGAGACGGTGACCAAAAGATTAGTATGCCAATACACTTATGGTGAAGGTTCATTGTTGACTGTGGAGCAGGAGATATCCAGGTGTTGATAAGTTGTTGACCTTGCTCCCAGTTCTGACATATTGTATGACTCAGAATGGCTGCATTAGTGGTTCCCCACCTTGGGTCTCCAGATATTCTTGGACTACAACTCCCAGAGATCCTGGCCAGCACATCTAGTAGTGAAAGCTTATGGGAGTTTTAGGCTGGAACCACTGAGCTAGAACAAGCAGTTGACAGAAACAGGTTATCAGGTAAGCCTATACTAATACGAAGAATGGGCCCCCCCAACTGGGAAGGCCTGGATGTCTCCATCTCCCCAGTGAAGAATGGGCCCTCACAGCCAGTATGATGATGTATGTACCATTCTCTGACTGCAGAGGGGAGTCTGGGATCCAGAGTATAAGTCAACAACTTTGAACACCTGCCTGACCTGGGCAGTGCTAGGAGCTCCATTTACTCCTGGATGGCCCCTTCAACACAGTCAGGGGGACAAATGAAATTTGAGCTTCATGGCTGCCACTCTGTGGATACTGGGCAAGTAAATCTAGTTATGAGAGTGATGCCTTTAAAAAGAAATAGCAATTGCAGTTACTTCTCAGCATTACAGAACCACTATACCGTAGAATACAGTACTTTCCAGAACTCATCCTCTAGTAAGTACACACTTACCACAGGACACAGAGATAAATGAAATAGACAGACAGGCAGACAGACAGGCAGACAGACAGATCAAATAAGTAAAAAAAGCATATGATAAATGATAAACCACAGGTCTCCCATAAAACCCATAACATACTGCAAGAAATTATGAAAGGCACATTTATAAAGGTATTTTCAGTTGCTATATATCCATGCCCCTCACAGGCAAAGGGGAGGGCACTCCAGGAGAAGGACTCATAACTCATGTAAGTCCCATCCCACAGAAAGTGGGGTCAGAAAATCAGGCCTCCTGACTCATGTGAAGAACCTCTACAGACAGGGGGGCTCTCTCTCTTCAGACTCAGCATCCTCCATATAAAGAAAGGCAATGCAATCCGAAGGAGAGGCAGAGCGACAGCACTACTCTCTAACCCTGGCAAGTATACAGAATTAGGTAATGACCGAATAAGGCTTACACTTCCAGGCTAACTGAAGTTTTCACAACCTGGAGGGCCCCAAACAGGATGAAAAGCTACTAGAGGGTTAGGTGAGTGAGTCGTCACCTTCTTGAGGTAGGAGCCAACGAGTATTCACTTCTCCTAGAGAGCTCAAAAGGAGTTCATCTTCTATCTGATGAAAATAATTCAGGAACATTTGGATATTCTGGCGAACTTTCCAGATTGCTCTGTCTCCCCCTCCCCTTACTTGTACCTGCTCTTAAACGTGGGTACGGGTAGCAATCCAATCAAGAACCTTGATTTCAAGAAGAAAACTCCAAAGAGGTTGGGTTTCCCCACTGCCCTGCTCCCAGTCCTTTGGGGCTGAGAGCAGACTGAGGCAACAAAAACTGTCCTGCAAAACGAGGCCCTGCTTCTGGGTCTTCCTGCTATGAGAGCCGATGAGTGAGGAGGGTGTCACCGTCCAAATATACATCGATCCAGTGTCACATTATCTAACCTGCCTGCCTGCCTGTACTTTTCCTTTCCTTTCTTTTCATTTCTTAATAAGCTTGCAGACAATATCCTCCCCGAAACTATAAAATAAGTAAGGGTGGGGAACAAGAGGGGAAAAAGGTAAATGACTATTTTTTTAAAAAGATGAGAGTTTGAGTAGAAATAGCTGGAAAGACTGCTCCACCCTTGGGTGAAAGACAAGAGAGAACTTGGAAAGGAGGAGCCCTGGTCACTGGAAGGGAGAACTTAGCCCACTGGAAAATCAACTTTATTTCTTTATTCATAGCAGGGCACTGCATGGTTTTAAATTATGGACATATAATATATAAATAAAATTCAAATGAATTAAAATAATTAAGAGTATTTTGAACAGAAGCAGGCTACTTCAAAAGTGTCTTGGCCGTTTATCAGACCTTCTTTTGTATACATATTGGGGCATAAATTGCATATACATAAATGCAGCATTCATTGCACTTCTCCACATACACAGAAAATTTGTCCCATATCTAAGTAGCCATTTTACTTGATTATTCTATGGAGGACGTAGAAGAACTCTCCTTGAAGAGTGGAAAGCATTGCGAGCACAATTGGGTATCCCCTGAGCAACAGTATGTAGCTGGCTAATCTTTCCTATCCAGAAACACTGGATAGTTAACTTTATATTGTGCCCGCTTTTCTGTTTTTGACAAAAAGCCATGAATCTGGCAATCTAATAGTGTATTCCTAGTCAAGAGATGCACTGACCTTAAGTGCTCTGAAAATATGCAAACGCCTTTATGGCTGGCAGAAATCTTCCTATGCCATCAGAAATTATCTTGTGAGCAGAAGATAACCTTTTATAACCTTTATAACCTTATCTGATGCTTGGTCTCAGCCATCTGCTGGCAGGAAAATCTCCCCACAAAAGTGCTCTGCTGGCTCGGATCTGACAAGAAGAGCCACAAAATAAGCAGGGCAAAGGAGGAGACAAGTTATCACAGATTCAGACTGCCTCCAGCCCAAGGATACAGATACTATGTCAGCACAAAATCAGGAGGGTAATCCTAGATAATTTCCAAAATCCTTAGACTAGGAAGGGTTTGGGCCACCCCCACCCTGGCCCCAGACGTCTTGGCTAGTTAGCATCTATCATATCTTAGTACCTTTGAAAGAAATTCCTCCAGAGGCTCCACAAGTTGTTTGGTTTGCTGCTGTATGAACTTCTCACAGGCAAACTTCAAGTGCCGATCAACATCCTTCTTAGAGTCAATATAATGTTCTCTGATTTCTGGAGTGCCCTGGAACATAAAAGCAATTTTAACCTTTTATTTCTTCAGAGATTGTCATATTTGTAAAACAAACTTTTCTAATCAGTTAATAAATGCTCTTTACCTCCAGTAAAAACTGTATCAGTGCATTGCTGCTACTTAGTCTAAAAAAATGTGGAACGGTCATTGGATTCAGGATCTTAAATGCAGCATCTGTGAAAAGAAAACCACTCTAATGAGTATTCTCTTTCTTTACATGTAATTATTCATTGTCTTCACCACCAGAACAAACCAACAAATTTGTAGCATTTCTACAAATTCTCAGGAATAGTCATATGCGTAGATTGTGAACTTTGAAAATAAAAGAAGATATTGAGATGAGAGTTCATCGATTTCTTAGTATTCTTAATCATAATATCTAGATAATTTATAACTGTCTCACTAAAATGCTTCCCACCTCATTAAAATGTATTCAGTTGCTTTTACACAGTAACAAGATCAGATGACAAATTACATATACAGGTAACAGAAGTCTTCAAACCATAAAACCTCAATGCCTATAGGACTGTGGGAGGAGAACATTACATTTCTGCAGCACATACAGAAAAGTGTTCTTGGCTAATGATGCTCCAGGAAATACTGTCTTGAGAGTTATGTTTGAAAAGACAACCTTTCATCATCCAGTCTGTCTGAAATCAACATTAAGTGTTAGGGCTTTTGGAACCATACTAGGTATCTACAGAAGCAGACTGATTAACCAACAATATTAAGAGGTAAACTAGTTAAAATAATCTCCATGAGTTCCCTTTTTGGTCTTTCATCTCTCAGATCTTACCCTACCACACATCAGTATCTAGTATGACCAATAGCTCAATTTCAAATCCTTAGCAACACACGTTTCATTAATTCCCCTTAAAATATATACAAAGTAAAACCACTATGTTTTCTTATGAGCTGCCTATATTCCAATGCTTCTGGAGTTCTTGTTATTGATGCTTAACTAGGAACTATTGTTGGCTGATTTGATTCTCTACAGATAGCTTTAATAAACTTAGAGATGGAACTGAGTGACCATCTATGCGGTCACACATAAGGAAAAGTTTGTACAAAAGCAGGGCCTCATTCTGACATTCTAAAACTAGACTATTTTGGGGTGGCAGGAAGACACCAACAGTCTGAAGATGAGTACTGCACCATTACTCCCATTTCTAACTTTCTCAATTTTTATGTAAAGTAAACACACTCTTCCCTCTCAAACTGGATCAGGCCAGTAACATTGGGAAGAGAAGATTTCAGCTTCTCTCCATGTGCCACTTTCTTGGCTAGGTTCCTCCACACCAGGGCTAATGGCTCCTAGGAGCAATTTTGGACAGAGTGCAGTTTTGATCAGAGAGGTTTTGCCCAAAAAAAAAAAGTTAAAGTCCTTCCTCCAACTGCCACTACCCTCATCCAAACTGAGCAACCCCTTGAATGTTCTTCAGTACAGAAAATGAAATTTGCAGATTAGATAAGCTATCTTTAATTTCTGTTGCTCGACCCTGTATCTGGTGTACTAGAAGGCTGTTCAGTTAGCATAACTCAATACCTCTGGTTTTCTTAAGGTCCAGGGAAATCTCCTTAATGGTGAATTCAGTGTGAAAAGGAGCAATTTGTTCACGAAGAATCAATAGGTGTTTTATTAAGAAAAGCTGGCCATCAAGCTGAGTCTAAAGTATAAAAAGAATAAATGTCAAAACAAAAAGACACCTGACCCCAAGCTTGCCCACTCAATGGAAAATTCCATTTGTTTTTTTATACCAGTTTAACAAGATCCAATTAACTACATCCAATTAAGCAGTCTGTGCACTTCTTACAAGCTTGTATACAGATGTAACAATTAAAATGTATAATGACAATTTAGGATAACGCAGACATCAGTAAAAGATGTTCACTCCTGTCGCCCCCAATTGTATAACATTTTCTTGATGTCTTGCTCTATTTCAAAGTTATGCTACATACTTATATTTTAATTGTTTTCAACTAATTTACATTACTGAATGGATGGAATATATGCTCTGGCATATATATTTTTTGTCCATTTCACAAAGACCCTTTCCTCCAAATTTTCTCTTGAAACTCTAAATCACACATCTCCCACCCAATACTCTGTAAACAACCCTTTTTTTCATAAAGCAAACTCTAATTACTAACATTCTCTATCTGAACAAAACAGGAGCCAGAGTCACAGATCCTCTCTTATCTATGTAGAATATGGATACCTTACAGGGAAAAAAGGAGAGGCAGGAACTTAAAATAATCATTGCTTCTGGTCTCACCTGGGCACTTCTATAAACAGTTTAAAGAGTTTTATTATGCACATTGTGAGTTCCTCTACCACACCACATGCACCATGATGGACAGAAGATCTCTTGGATTTGGTCATAAAATAGAAAGTAACTTTTAACAGGCAAAAGGCAAGATAAAGTATCTGAGTATTTTGGGTCCATGTCACTAAGGTAAGTGAGATATTGTGAAGGTTGTAACCTAGAAACTATGCTTTCTATTCTATCCCCTTCTGTTATCCCTCCCTACCCAGCCCAGTCACCCATCTTTTGACTTCTCTTCTTTTTAATGAATGTCTATGTGGCTGAATGAAGTGCTGCACCTCTTGTTGCTACACACTCTGGATTAGTGCTAAGGGCAGGTGGCGGGAAAGGTGAGTGGCTCTAGGACGGCCAGATTGCTTACCTGTAACTGCAGTTCTTTTGAGTGGTCTTCTGTGAATTCACACTATGGAGCTCCTTTTGTGCCTGTGAAAATGTCCTTGAGACTTTCTAGAGCCTAGAGAAAGTGTTAAGACACGCCCTCTCCACCATGCACACTCCCTGCCCTGTATCGAATCCTCAGTTCCCCCAGTCCGCCAAAGATACAGAAAACAGTTTTTGTGTGGAACTTGCCATAGTTTGCTGTGGTCCACACAGTCATGCTACATACTTATATTTTATGCTACATCAAGTATGCTACATACTTATATTTTAATTGTTTTCAACTAATTTACATTACTGAATGGATGGAATATATGCTCTGGCATATATATTTTCTGTCCATTTCACAAGGACCCTTTCCTCCAAATTTTCTCTTGAAACTCTAAATCACACATCTCCCACCCGATACTCTATAAACAACCCTTTTTTTCATAAAGCAAACTCTAATTACTAACATTCTCTATCTGAACAAAACAGGAGCCAGAGTCACAGATCCTCTCTTATCTATGTAGACTATGGATACCTTACAGGGAAAAAAGGAGAGGCAGGAACTTAAAATAATCATTGCTTCTGGTCTCACCTGGGCACTTCTATAAACAGTTTAAAGGGTTTTATTATGCACATTTTGAGTTCCTCTACCACACCACATGCACCATAATGGACAGAAGATCTCTTGGATTTGGTCATAAAATAGAAAGTAACTTTTAACAGGCAAAAGGCAAGATAAAGTATCTGAGTATTTTGGGTCCATGTCACTAAGGTAAGTGAGATATTGTGAAGGTTGTAACCTAGAAACTATGCTTTCTATTCTATCCCCTTCTGTTATCCCTCCCTACCCAGCCCAGTCACCCATCTTTTGACTTCTCTTCTTTTTAATGAATGTCTATGTGGCTGAATGAAGTGCTGCACCTCTTGTTGCTACACACTCTGGATTAGTGCTAAGGGCAGGTGGCGGGAAAGGTGAGTGGCTCTAGGACGGCCAGATTGCTTACCTGTAACTGCAGTTCTTTTGAGTGGTCTTCTGTGAATTCACACTATGGAGCTCCTTTTGTGCCTGTGAAAATGTCCTTGAGACTTTCTAGAGCCTAGAGAAAGTGTTAAGACACGCCCTCTCCACCATGCACATTCCCTGTCCTGTATCCAATCCTCAGTTCCCTCAGTCTGCCAAAGATACAGAAAACAGTTTTTCTGTGGCAGACTGAGGGGAGCCCTGGGTAGGTTGTGGGAGTTCACAGATAACTACCTGAAGAACTACAGTTGCAGATCCTCCTTCTTGGTGGTCTCTGTAAATCACAGGATGGACAAGCTCAATTACGAGCTGGTGGGATGTCACGCCAATATAGAGGAGATCACTGCCCTGCCAAACGCAGCATCCAGGTTTGCCCTGGTGCTCAATCTATAGTGCCTGATAAATACTGAAGGCTGCAACCAAGTTGCTGCCTTGCAAATGTTTCTCAACTAAATTCCAGAGCACATGCTCTGGTCGAATGCCCCTTTAAGGAAGCAGGTGCTGGGTGTTTTGCTAGTTGGCAGAGTAGGGTAATCGTGCTAACTATCCACTTCGACAACCTTTGCAATGCAACATGATCACCTTTCTTTGGCCTTTGATAATTGACAAACAGTCTGGTAGATTTTCATAATTGTCTTGTTCTTGTAGTATCCGAGGCTAACACTCTTGAGATATCCAGAATATGCCACAACTTTTCCCTCTCTGATGTGGGGGGGAGGAGGAATGGAAAAAAACATAGGAGGCATCTGAGGTTGATTCGGGTGGAAGCTCTAAACTACTTTTGGAAGGAAGGAAGGATCAGGTACCATGGCACCTTATCCTTACGGAACTGTAGGAGAGGTGGATTATGACAGAGAGCACAAAGTTCAGTAGCTCTGCAGGCAGAGATCACCACAACCAGTAACACGGTTCTTATACATGAGCAGGTTGAGATTCAAAGTAACCATAGGCTCAAATGGTGGTTTCAGAAGTTGCATAAGCACTAAGGGGTGAGTAAGCACTGCTGCAGAGCGGCTCCAATATGTGGACAGCCTTTTTCAAGCCCTTCAAAAAACCCTGAAAACTATGTTTGTAAAGAGGTATGAAGCTTGATACACTATCATCGCTAACTGGAGTACTTTTATGGAGGAGTATAATCTCCTCTCCTTGAGAGGAAAAAAATGGAGAACTATGTGGAGTTATGAAGGTAGGATTGCTGCATGGACTTGCAAAAGGAGCCTTGTGATGCAGTGGTTAAACTGCAGTACAGCAGCCAAAACTCTGCTCACAACCCAGGTTCAATCCTAGGGAGGTAGCATAAGGTTGACTCAGCCTTCCATCCTTCTGAGGTCCGTAAACTGAGCACTCAGTTCCCTGAGTAGGGCAATGTGTAGCCTGCATAATTAGTGCTTTAATATGGAAATAAGCATCCTTGAGGTCTGTTACAGCGAACCAGTCTCCTTTTTTGAGAAGTGGCAAGATTGTCACTAAAGTCACCATCCTGAATTTCTTGGTGTTTATATGAATTCACATGACTCAAGTATGAGATGGGCCTCAGGCTCCTGACTTTTGGGGGACAATAAAGTAACGGGAGTAGAAGCCATTGTCCCAAGACTTGAGATGGACTTGAGAGGTGGAAGAGCCCTTACTTGATACTTGACCTAGTATTCTCTGCGGGACAGGGGGATGGTGGTCCGGATGTGGTGGATTTATCTTTGACTCCGTTGTCACGGTCGGACCATTTCCTGGTAAAATTTAGACTCTCAGCCACTACTACCCTCTGCAGGGGTGGGGGATCAATTAAAATGATCCAGATGGACTTGAGAGGTGGAAGAGCCCTTACTTGATACTGAAGAACAAGTCTGAGATCTTCAATTTCAAGAGTACTTAGATGGCTGAGGAGTGGATGTAAGTTCTCCCCGTGCTTTTTCTGTAACTAGTAACCATGTCAGGGACCTTGATACTGAAGAAGAGGCTGAGGTAAAGTGCTGCTGACGAGCTTTCAGAACAGATAGCATTAAAACTGATTGGGCTTTGTGTTTCGTCTTCATTACCTGTGACTTAGTTTGGCAGCTAGACCTGTGGCACTGCTTAGTGCTCAATGCTGGGGATCTAAAGAGTTTGATGTCCCTCAATAAGGCAACAAAGGCACTCATAATGTCTGCCAGTGAGGAGGATCTTATTGCTGCAGCTGGTCCACTTTCTGAATGAGTGTACTAGGGCCATAAAAAGGAAGGAACAGCTGTTAACCAACAAATGATGACTATGAATAATGATGACTAAATAACTTTTTTAAAAAACAAAGAGACTGAGAACAGGAGAAGATTATCAAGGGCAGGTAGGTAATAACTATATACAAGCTGTTGAAAAGAATACATGAGGGTTCTAGGAAGCTCCTAGAATGTTCTCTTAGTGGTGACAAAAATGGAACCGAGGACTAGATACAGGATGGGAAGCATGTATGGTGGATAGGTTTTGTCCTAATACTTTCTCTAGGCTCTAGAAGGTTCCAAGTACATTCACAATGGTGCAGAAGGAACCCCATATATGTGATTCAGAGGCCACAAAGAAGAAAAAATATGCTATTTCATGGCACTAAAAGCAGTAGAACTTTAAACAGAAAAAAGTAAATGAACATTACAAAAGTTATGTAAACATTATACAACACTTCTCCCATAAAGTGTAACAATACCTGACCTTGTTTTTAGCAATGGACTCTGAAGCTACTAATAATGACTGTATGCAAGCAGATAAGGCCTCCTGTGACAGTCCTTGAAACACTGCTTTCTGGAGACAAAAAGAACACACATTTTCATAAACATTAGGCTAGTATCCTTACAGTTTTCTTCTCTCAACTGTATAGAGGAATCCTACAGATTACAGTGGCATCTTCGATCTGTAAATGTGAGCATGATCAAGCCACATCTCATCAGTATGCTTCCCAATTTCTGATACTATATACGGAAGAGAAGAATGGTTGGATCCAGATTGTTACGTACTTGAAATTAAGCCCCACTGAAATCAGTGGAACTAGCCATGATTTAAGACCCTTCTGATCTCAATGGGGAATGCTTAACAGATTTAGCCTGAATCCAACACATTATTCCACATCACCCATAAATTAGATAAAATAACAGTTAACAGAAATGGTGTCCATGAACTTCTGGATTCATGAAATAGATACAGTCACAAAGAGAAGCATTTAACATTTACAGAGCCCTTCTATTAATTTCCAAAGAAGGTAACAGCTTCTGTGTTGCTTTTTCTATCTCATTTGTGACCCGTGGATAGCAAGTGCAGTTTGGACAACAACAGTCCCTACCCATCATGTTGGTGGGGCTGACAGGAGCTGCAGGTTGAAAGATGTAGAAGGCCAACGTTCCTCTGCCACTGCTACCTGCACTAGTATCAAGCCACTAAATGGCACACAGGACCAATGCTCACAACACTTTCCTTCCAACTCCTCCCTTCTGGAACATACATATCGTTCACCTTCACTACCAAGAATTATTTTGATAATCACTAGTTGGCAAAAGTTAGTCAATTTTTACCAAGTCTAGCTGGATACTGCATTTTGCTGAAATACAGAACTCCACAGAATGTGGTAATTGCCAGGTGATTTCAGCTTCCTGGTAAACCCATTTTTGTTTTTTGGGGTTTTTTTTATTACTCTTCTAGTCCTTGTAGTTGAATATTTGCTTGAAGGTATGCCAGATGAAACCTAATCCAAAAGTTTCCCAATGGTCACTTAGCTTCAACACTTTAAATTCCTTCAAGCCTTTCCCAAAGCCAAATAAAATTAAAACATATCCTATTTCCTTTAGTTATTTAGAGGGAGGATTTCTATGACATTTCACATTTTCTCTGCAACCTACATTTGAACCCATAAGCAAGTTCAAATGTGTTTATGAGTAATCTCGCCTTTCTCACCAGATTACTCATAAACATGTTCAAACTCACCCATAAAGTCAAATGCAGGTTGCAGAAAAAATAAGACATGTCATAGAAATCCTCCCCCTAGATCCAGGATGGTGCAGATGAGCCACAATTCATCTTTTCTAGATTAACAGTGCGGAATTTCACATATTTAAAGCACAGATTGTATATAGCTGTGGCTCATATGCGTTATAATTAATTAATTGTAATTAATGGCATGTGGGGCATGGAGGTGAATAGTGCAGAAGAAATCCATACTCCAAAAGTGAGGCAATATGTGATTCTGCAATTAACTAAGCAGTAAAATTTATGCACATGCATACTGGTGCATAAAAAGACAGCTTATAACAATGACAAACCTTTACTTATTTCTCTGATACTGCTTCCTATTGAAAGATTTTCAGATGTGATCCAAGAGCTATTTTTCTAATGTAAGATATTGCCTAGTATCCTCTTGTGGAAGACTGATGTCACTGGCAGTGACAAACTGCCCCTAATTAAAGAGTTCTTTTTTCGACATTCGGATATGCACTACCCATGCACAAGAAGTTTCAAAGCTGTGTTCACTCTGAAATCAAAACAAGAACTATTTAATTAGCCAGTGAAGCTCTGCAGGAGGATACTGGCTATAATTAGATTATTAGGTGTTATGCACTGAAAATATTACACCATCGTCTGAAAGAGCACTTTGGTTTTTAAAACCCTAAGAAGTGATATTTCAGTTCTAACTTTTCTCTTGCAGGGGTGCTTTTTTATTTAAAGACAAAATTTCAATGCATACATCGATACATCTGTACAACTTGGAGAGACACACAAGAGTCCTTCTGACAGTCGGGTACCACATTCCATGAAGGTCTGCAGGTGAAATTGTAGAATGCAGCCTAGGATTATGGGATTCCAATGGATCTATAACAGAAAAGGCATATACAAGATTTGCTAAAGTTTTTTAACTAAAGTTATTACTGGACTGATTACAGTTGCACCTGGCAATGAAAAAATTAAAAAATATAAGAGCCCATGAAACAAGGTATTCTTGTTTCCATGACAACAACAAAGGTCTGTCTGACTACAAAATGTCTAAACAGAGCATAAGTTTAATGAAGTGTGCATTCTCAGAGATTTCAGTGTAGGGCAGCCTTTACTGCTAAGAATCTCTTTCTCCTTCCCAGGTAGAGTCCAGAAAGACCGCCACAAAAAGGAGGGTACCTCCAACATTATCTGCCTCCTTCCCTGGCTGAAGGGCCAACTGCAAGGGTACTTCACTCTACCTGCTGGGGAAAACTTACCTGCAGCAAAACAAGCCGCTTAGCTGAGGCAACTGCTCAAGGAGAACTCTTGTAGCATCACCACAGTTAGGTCAGCTTCACCTTTGCTGAACTTTACCCATAAGGGAGTGAAATCTAAATCCTTGGCGTTGCTTCCAGTCACCAAGCAGAATTAAAAGCAACAATCTCCATGCACCTCTCTCATTCCCAATTCAGAAGGCACAGCTCCATGTGAAAGAATTTTCCTGTCCGAAGGAGTAGGGTCTTAAGAAAGTGGGGGGGGGGCCTCTCCTGGACCCGCTGTAGGACAGAATGTGAACTTCTACAGGCCCATTTAGTTCTTAGGAGCTGACAACTCCTTTTCCCTAACACATGATTTGCTTACAAATATTGTAAAGCTGGCCATTGCCCCTCAAGGGGCTCAGAAACTTTCCTTCCGGAGTGAACAATTTCTGAGGCTCTGGTGGGCATTTCTGCTCTTCCCCAGGTCATGGAGAGCCACCTATCCTAGATTTGGTTTCACATGGCACTCTGTTGGCCTGGAAGGCCTCTGGGGGTACTGGCTGCCATTTGTACATAATCCTCCCACCTATTTTAGTCCTTTTCTCTTTCAAAATAAAAAGTGAGTTCCCTATCAATATCAGCCTCTGGTGGGGCATTGCTGTGAGGGCTAGAAACAAAATACTTTGTTGAATCACTAATGTTTCCTTGGAGTACTCACTCTAAGGGAGGGGTGGTGGAAGGCTAGAGTCTATGATGATAAACTCCTTCTTGAAAAGAGAAATGAAGACATTCACTGCCAAAAGAACATGATCATAAAACTGTACCCTACCAATATATTTGCACATTTCACCTCAATCTCCAAAGAAACAAGAGATTTATGAAACCATTCAAAGACTCATTATGATCCTGGATAAAAATTCTTCAGCATCTTGTACAGAAATAATTTCTGCCAATATCAAATTAGTTGGCACATTGCCAAGAAGCAGCTTCGCTGTCTTTCCAAGTGGTAAATTTTACTCTTAATATCACCATTTTAATGGACTTAAAAGACCACTCTGAGATCCTAAAATATTATTTTTGATTATAGTGTTATTTAATCTATTTCTGTCCTTCCAACGTTATTGTTTTGTGATGGTGTTAAACTGAGAATAAATATTTTTGTCATGAACCCCCAAAATGTCTCAAGGTCAGACAGACCTCTCATGAAATAATGCACGTCCATCAAATTGCAATGGCAGCCCAATAGCCATTGAAGAGATCTCTACCAGAAGGGCCTCCTAATCTCTCTCTAGCGGATGGCGTTGGTGGTTGTGACAAGTATGACACTGAAAATATTTTCAAATCTACTTCCAGTATTTTATTCTGGGCTTCAGAGCATGCTATTCTCTAGCTCTTTGGGGAGAAATGGACACAAAGCTCCTTTGTTAAAGGAATTTAACAACTCTGATTTAATTGTTGTTCAGGAGTTCTCTAGGACCCATTTCTCAGTAGTGGTGAAAAGAAAGTGCTAAGGAGGACACTTCCTAAACTTACTGAAAGGCTGTTTTGCACACAAAATTCCCTACAGAGAGTTCTTTCAGAAAACTGGGCAGCATGAAGAAGTTGTCTGAATTATAAGGAAAAGAAATCCTTTCCTGTGAAGCAAAGTTTAAGCACTTGAATTTTATGTATGTGCGAATCCTGGAGGGCTGAGCTCAGAAAGTGATACTGGGGGACTCATGTCTGGTGCCCCCGCAAGGGTTCTCTTCTGTACCCAAGTCTATAAACACATATGCGACTGCTGGTTGGGGCTGAATGCCACCACTATCCTTCCATCCAAATCAGAACTAACTTTCTCAGTTCTAAACTGGTGTCTATGGTCAAAAAGGGTCTGAATGTCTTGTGTTAGACAGAGTTCATTTCCACTGGTAACTAAGGTTTGCAACTTGGATATTCTCCTGCATTCGGTCCTATTAGGGGATGTCCATATCTCAGTGGCAGTCAGGAATGTGGTTGTACAGTTAAGATGAGTACACTAGCTGTATTTGGTCTCGGAGAAGTCTGGTCTGATCTGGTCATGGTCATAGAAGCCTTCATTTCATCTTGTTTGATTTATCACGTGGCATGCTATGTGGGAAACTGGTCATGGTCATAGAAGCCTTAGTTTCATCTTGTTGATTTATCACGTGGCATGCTATGTGGGATTGCCTTTGGAAAGGATTTAGAATCTGTGTCTAGTCCCAAATCCTGCAACCAGACTGTTAACTGAAGCCCATTAAGAATCAAAATCTTTTGTCACAATAACTTTACTAACTACCCTTCTGTTTCTGGGCACATAACCAACAAAGCCCTAAACAGTTTGGGTCCAGGCCAGCTGAAGGACTGTTTCTCCCCATACGAGTCTGCCTAGGTTCTAAGATCCTCTCTGTCCCACCATCCTGAGGCAAGTTTTTCAGTGGCTGGTCTCATGTGATGGAACTCTCTTCTACAGGAGGCTATCCTGGCCCCTTCTTGCTATCTTTCTTCTAGAAGGCAAATACACTTTTATGTAAATATGTGATATGGTCCTCTTTGCTACTCTTTTTAAAATTGTTTGCTTTTAATTTGATAATTTATTTAATACTGTTTTGAGACTGGTATTTACTGGGAGGGGAGGGTTAACTAATGCTGTTTTTTAACACTGTTGTAAGTTTTGGGTCTTGGAAAGACAGAGAGGTGGAATATAAATAAATGGCCCCTTCTTGCTATCTTTCTTCTAGAAGGCAAATACACTTTTATGCAAACATGTGATATAGTCCTCTTTGCTACTCTTTTTAAAAATTGTTTGCTTTTAATTTGATAATTTATTTAATACTGTTTTGAGACTGGTATTTACTGGGAGGGGAGGGTTAACTAATGCTGTTTTTTAACTGTTGTAAGTTTTGGGTCTTGAAAGACAGAGAGGTGGAATATAAATAAATACATCTGTTTCTACCCTGCACTTTAAGTCCAGGGAAAACACTATGTCTGTTTCTCAAAGGGAGGGGGAGTGAAAGGAGGAAGGTGCATGGAAACCACCATTCCCCTCCATTTTTTTCATACCACATAGCTGACTCAGCTATGTGGACTGCTTGGTTAGCCTCCAGCATGCAGCTCATAAGGGAAAAGAAAGGAGTGGCTTGCTTAGAAAATAGAAAGGGACATAAGGGTAATGGTGCTTTTTGTTTGTTCTCACAATTCCTGGGCTCAATAGTCATTTGACTACTATATTATATTCCAGCACTTTTCCTCAGGAGGGGAAGGGAAGAATAGGCTGAGAATAGGGAGAGCTGTTATCCCACTAAATTCATCTGTAATGGACTTAAAGAAGTGCCCTTCTTTAAGCTTTCCCCCAAAGAAAATAACACAACTATTTATCCTAGACAGAAAAATATTGAGGCCAAAGACCTCTCTTTCACTTAACTCCATCCATCTTAAGAATAAGAATGATCTCAAGGACAGTATTGGGCATAATCGAGCAAGATGGTACTACAAGATGGTAGTTTAAGATCTCCAACTTGCTCTGACAAAATATTTAACCTAGTTTAACCTTTATGCCAATTATAGCCTTCAAGGTGTCATAAGACTCTTTTTAAACCTATAAATGCTGAATGCCACCACTTACTGCTTTCTTTATTCCTTGACTTACAACAAGGACTAAATACCTATAGGCAAATTAAATTACCGTATTTTTTGCTCCATAAGACACACCTTTCCATAAGACGCACCAATTTTGTAGGAGACGAAAACAGGAAAATATAATCTGTTTTCTTCGCTCCATAAGACGCACAGACTTTCCACCCCCCTGTTTTGTGGGGAAAAAGTGCGTCTTACGGTGCGAAAAATGTGGTAGTTTTAGCATGTTTATAGAAGTATAAATTCAAAAACATGCAGATACATATATGGATACAAACATACCAGCTTTAACAACACTGCCATCTGGATCTTCTAACTTCAGAGGTGAAAACGAAGTATCTGCAGATAACTTTTTCTCTTCTTCTTTTAAGCTCTGAGCAATTTGCTGCCGGGGGAGGGGGGACAGTTTGTAAACATATATTTTCACTGCAAAAATGTGCACATTTTGCATGAGAACAAGGCTCAGTCAATTTCCTGCTTCAGTAGAAAAAATATATATGGGATGATCCATACTTTCTATGAAAACAGAATTAGGTACGGTACAATTCATATCTCAATAAAATCTCATTCTGTGATTTTTTTTCAAACCCTCTTCATTCATTACAACTAGATATTTTACATGTGCTCTATAAGTATAGTATCTAAAGAAGAGGCACCTAGTTTACTGGCCAATTTAGCAACTTTATTGATCCAGTAATAAAAGCCCAAACTGACAAATTCTTCTGTACTGTCCTCCTAACCTGCAATTCTTAGATGTCGATCAGAAGCAGAAATTCTGTTTAATTGTGAATTCCACATACTTACAAGTGAGCGATCCAGGCATCAGGTAAGCTCTACTACAGAGGTTCTCAAACTTGGGTCCCCAGATGTTCTTGGATAGCAACTCCCAGAAATCCTGGCCAGCACAGCAAGTGGCGAAGGCTTCCAAGAACTGAAGTCCAAGAACATCTGTGGATCCAAGTTTGAGAACCCCTGCTCTACAACCCCTCATGGTCCAGTGGTTACTCTACAACACTGCAGTCAAGACTCTGCTCACAACCTGAGTTCTATCCCAATGGGTTCAGGTAGCTTGTTCAAGGCTGGCTCAGCCTTCTGCGGTCAGTAAACTAAGCACCCAGCTCACGGGTGGGGGAGCAATGTGTAGCCTGCATCTGGCATAATTAAACTGCAAACTGCTCAGAGAATGCTTGCTATGGGGTGGTATATAAGCAGCACACTTTGTTCGTTTCTTTCCTTATTCCAGTTTTTAAATTTGATTTGAATATCTTCCATAATAAATAGTTATACAGAACTCAAAATCTTGAGCAGCATTTTGAAACTGCTATGTTGGACAAATAAATCTGTTTATGTATTTGGTTGTTTGTTTCCTTTCTATGCTGCCTTTCTCCTGGTGATAAATGTACAGTGGTGCCCCACATAGCGACGATAATCCGTTCTGGATAAATCGTCACTATCCGGAATCGTCGCTATCCGAAACCAAAAACCCCATAGGAACGCATTGAAAACCCTTCAATGCGTTCCTATGGGGGATAAGCTCACCGCTATGCGGAAATCCTCCACCTGGCCGCCATGCATCCGGCCACCATTTTCACCGCCCCGGTAAGCGAGGAAACCACGCGAAAACACTGCGGGGGGCAGCCACTTTGTTTAGCTGGCAGCCATTTTGGAACCTCCGATCAGCTGCCCCAGTAAGCGAGGAAACCACACGAAAACACTGCGGGGGCGGCCACTTTGTTTACCTGGTGGCCGATCAGCTGTTTTAAAATCGCAATGCAAAGATCGGTAAGCGAAACGCTTACCGATCATCACAATGTGATGTTTAGCCATAGAAAACATCGCAATGCGATCACTTTTGCGATCGCAAAATCCGCATCGCTATGCGGATTCGTCATTAAACAGGGCGCTCGTTATGTGAAGCACCACTGTATTGTGCTAACATGGGTTTTAATACAGTATGTGTTGGAATTTTAGCATGTATTGGACATTTCTTTTGGCCAATGTCACTAACTCTGCCTCTACTTTTAAGTAGTTCTGTATTTGCTTTCAATACTGGACTAGATGCTTCTAAGCATTGTATAATGCATTATCTATAGAAGTGTTTCACATTCAACATCCAAAAAACATAAAGATCCTTACCTCCATCATTTCCAACTTAGCAGGATAGGCAAGATCACCTGGAGCAGGCTTATAGCCAACGATGTCAGTCTGAATGTAGATGTATGTCCTGTAGACCAGACGCTCTTGGACATCCTCTAACATCTGCTTAACTCCAGCAGTAAAAGCAGCCAGCTGTTCCACTGTGAGAAAAAGTCACTACTTTAAAATCATCAATAAAGGCCCCTCATTATACTGTCTACATCAGACATTATAGAATATTGAGTCCACATGGTAATAACTCTTATCTAGATTAAAATAACTCATGGAAATTTTCAGTTTTACAGTATAACACTTAAATATAAAAAATCTTGAATTCAGCTCTTACAACTTAAAAACTGCCTACACTTCCACTGTGAGAATGCACAGTTTCAGGGCTCAGAAATCTGTGGCCTATCAGATGTTGCTGAGCTCCAGTTCTCAACAGTCCTAGCCAACCTGATCAATGGTGAGTGATGTTGGGTGTACTTAATGAACTTTTGGAGGGCCAGAATTCTCTAAGCTCTATTTGACTTGCTAAACAAGAAAACAGAAGACAAAGTATATCATTACACAATCCTGTTTAGAAATCATACCTGTTAGGCTGCATTAAGATTAATTCTGAAAACAGTGATCAAACAGTGTTTGCCAATGATCAAATAATAAAAAGGTGTGTTTCTTGGACCCAAATAATCATTTTAATGTTAATGAGCAATTCACAGCATAAGAGACTAATATCATTTCAAGGGGAGGGAAAAGGAACAGCTTTCCAGTGCCTTTAGCTTAAAGATGGAAAGCTGAAAGCTGAAACTAAATTGACAGCCAAAACCACCACCATTATCGAATGGCTGGGAGGGGGGAATAACGATCTAAAAGACATAAATAACAAAATATATTCATTTCTGTAGGGCTGGAAAACATTTTTTTCCAGAAGCACTATGAACTTTTGCAGCCTAGGCATACAGTGGTACCTCGACTTACAAACTTAATCCATATTGGAACAGTGTCCATAACTCAAAACGTTTGTCAGTCGAAGCACCATTTCCCATAGGAATGCACTGAAAACCGATTAATCCGTTCCAGCCGAAGAAAAAAATACCCCAAAAATAAATAAATAAAACACTGCAAGCCCCACAGGAACGTGCTGGGGCTGAAACAAAATAAAACAAAACCCAGGAGAGAAAGGGAGTCTCCAAGGCTGGCCAAAGTGAACGGGGCTGGGGCCACAGACCTGGCTGGGAAGCGCTTGCCCGCCTCCTCCTGAGCTTCCCTCACTCCGGTCAGCAGCCACGGCTTCCCCCCCTGCTGCCCAGAGGATAAAAGTAACCAAACAAAGAGAGCACAGCAAGCCCAGTCGGAAGGTGCTCCGTTGCTAAGGCTTTAAGAAAAAAACCTCAAAAAACAAACACTAGAGCCACATCTGTTACTGAGGTTTAAGAAGAGGAAAAAAACCCAAAAATACAGACACACAGACACAGACACAGACACAGACACAGATACAGACACACACACACGTTCGCTCTGAAGCAGAGCACAGAAACAAACTCTCCCTGCAGACACACAAACACACTCACTCCAAAGCAGAGCCACCAAAACCCACTCAGAGCAGTTTTTGTTTCAAGGTGAAAACAGCAGCTTACCTCGCTGCAGACAAACACACAGGCTCACTTCGAAGCAGGAGGCTTTCCCAAGCCCCCAACTGTGACAGACTCTATAACTGTCGAAAGAGCTACAGCACAAAGAAGCAGCCTCAGCCCCACCTACAGTTAGAAAGCTGAATGGCCCGCCTTTTCCCCCTGCCTGTTTCTGTTTGTAAGTGGAAGCTCCGTTCTCAAGTCGAAGCAAAAAGTTGCAACCTGAGTTGTTCATAAGTCAAAATGTTCGTAAATAGGGATGTTCGTAAGTCGAGGTACCACTGTACTTGAAATATTTAGTCTCTAAAAAGGGCTCAAGCTACACATAGCAATTGTGGTAGAAATATCACCTAACCAAATCCTGCTGTCTCCACACTCATTCTTTCATATGGACATTTTCTGGGCAGAAAGAGGAAAAAATAAGCCTCTGTCCCTTCAAGAAGCCAGTCTTATATCCATCTATGCCTTGCACATTTTTGTCTTCCACTGAGTTAGCTACCATTCCATTTTTCAGCTACGCATGAAGCAATTTGCCATACATGCTTTTTGGGCAAATAGCTATTTATTTCTAAATGCTACATAATGCATGTTCCTTCTGTAAAATAAGAAGACATTCTTGATAGTACAACTATTTTAAAATCAAAACAGGACAGTTGCTTTTTAAACGATTATTTACATAATCATTTCCATTTAAAAGAAATGTCTCTAAGCTGAAAAAGACACATATGTTAAATTCAATATTCCCTGACTGCATAACATCCCAATTATTTAAAAGGTATCTTCTAATCACATTTAAAAGAAATTATTTTGATCAATGTCTGATTTTAAAATCTGATTTTTTTTTCATTTACCATTATTTTGTACATGATCTTCAAGCATTTCGTTTTTGAGAATCCCACAGAGTTCAGACAAAGTTTCCAAATGGATTACATGGATGATCAGTGGCCTGAAGACATCATATAATGAAACGCATAATCTTTCCAAAAGTTCACTGTAAAACAGAAAAACATATTTTGCACAATGTGGCCGCAATGATTCCATTTTTCGTACTGCAGTAATATTCCATAAGATGTGACTGATCAATCAAATCTGCATATAATGCTCCACTTATATATAAGAACATACCACCAAAAGCACAAATTACAAATGACAAAATCTATTGCATGAGACACATTTATTCAACATTAAGTCCAGGTTTTCTAAAAGTAACACAACAGAAAGCTTCAGCTTATATAATATAGACGAAAGGTTCTTAACCTTTTCTCTACCACAGATCCTCTTTAAATATATTTTGTTGCCACGGACCACCAAGATTTAACTCAAGATTTTAACCCCTAAAGTGCATCAAATATTTATTTAAAATTTCTCACAAAGGGTCTTCAGATTTGGAGAGAAGGGAGAAATAAGTTAATCTGTTAATGCACACATTCCTATTATAATATTAAAAGGTTCTTAACCTTTTCTTTACCACAGATCCTCTTTAAATATATTTTGTTGCCACGGACCACCAAGATTTAACTCAAGATTTTAACCCCTAAAGTGCATCAAATATTTATTTAAAATTTCTCACAAAGGGTCTTCAGATTTGGAGAGAAGGGAGAAATAAGTTAATCTGTTAATGCACACATTCCTATTATAATATTTTATCTGAAGGAATCCATACAAATTTAGAAGGAGGAGGAGGAGGAAGAGAAACAGGAAAAGAAACAGAAGAAATGTCTGGATCAAGGTTCCCTCTAAGGTATGCGCCTGCGCACATGTGATGAATGAATCCATACAAATTTAGAAGGAAGAGGAGGAGGAGGAGAAATAGGAAAAGAAATAGAAGAAATGTCTGGATCAAGGTTGCCTCTAAGGTATGCGCCTGCGCACATGTGACTCCACCTCCCTCTGCGCTGAATTAATTCCTCCTCCACATACCAACAGCAATCCTTTGGGAAAGGAAGGCCAAAGTTTTGTTTATGGCTACTCCATTGTGCACTGGGATATACCTTACTTCCTTCTGATCTACAGACAACACTTTTTACCAAACACTGCCTGAGGCCAGCATGGCCATTTATCTGAATAATCAACAATCTCTTCTAACATATTTTACAATGATCAAAGAATCAGAGGATTGTTATTCCAGGATCGTCTTTTTAACCTCAGCTCTGCCCCCCCCCCGCTCTTTCCTTTACCCATATTAACTTTGGAACACAATTTTCCCAAGGCACAAAGAGCATGCAAATGCAAATTAAGACAGACCAGGAAGCCTTGGTATGTATTCCCTAAAAATGCATAAGGAGATAAAGGAAGAAGAGAGAAGTAGGGTAATAATGTCTCCCCTCAGTGCCTGAGAATCTGTATGAGGACAGTACAAACATTCAGTGCAATTAAAGCTAACATGTGCGACCTACTCCAATTTTGGTGTTGTTTTTGTAAAGAACTCATCGTACAGTTGATGCTCGTCTTGGCACACATGAACCATAAAGGCACAGCCACTTCGCACCTGAAATTGATCAAAGAACATTGTTAGTTACCAAACAACAAACCACTTGAATTAAGAATGACTGCTATATATTCCTTCATGTTTCAAAAAATAGTATGTACACTCCTGGGCTGGTTTAAAATATAAATCTGAATGCATATTCAACATGAATCACACAAGTCAGAGAGACAAAATCGAAATCCCTTAAACAATTCTAATTATGCTATTTTGCAAAATAAACTGTTGTTATTACTATCCAGCATTTCTCCAATGTGCAGATTCCTGCAAGGCTTATTTATTTCCAATGGGGGGGGGGAGCCAGTATGCTGCACTAAAAGCTACAAATTTAATATTATCAACAATTCAGAAAAAAAGTTTTTTCACATTTCAAAATGAAAAGGTAAGAAGGCAACAACAAAGCTTATCTTACCAGAGCACAATGATCTCTGTTGTTCCTATTAGTTAATTCTGTTACAGTAGTAGTAATACTAGGTCCCAATAAGTGCTCTCTCTGATCAAGGTAACATTGGTGAATTTCACTTAACAATTGCTTGTACCTAGACAAAGAAAAGAATGAGAAGGAATCCACTCTTACAGAAGAAGAAAATATCATGGGCTATAGCATCTCATATTGACGTTGTTTTTTATTATTCTTGTGTGTTGTCAGCCACCCAGAGTAGACTTCAGTCTAGATGGGTGGGATATATAGGGTTGTTGTTTTGTTTTTTTGTAGTTATGGGCTATAGCATCTCATATTGATGTTGTTGTTTTTTATTATTCTTGTGTGTTGTCAGCCACCCAGAGTAGACTTCAGTATCATGGGCTATAGCATCTCATATTGACGTTGTTTTTTATTATTCTTGTGTGTTGTTAGCCACCCAGAGTAGACTTCAGTCTAGATGGGTGGGATATATAGGGTTGTTGTTTTGTTTTTTTGTACTTTAAAAGAGGAACAATGGAAACTGCTATATGTACTGAGTAAAGTCATTGGTCCATTTAACCAATACTGACTGGAAATGCCTCTCCAGAATTTCATGTAGGATTTTTCCTGATCCTACCAGGAAACATTCCTTGATCCTCCTTCCAAGTTCTAAAGGGGCCTGATCTTGCCCAGTGTCCAAAATCAGATGGCACCAATAAATTCAACATGGTATGGCATTATAGCAGTTCTAATGTAGCATGAGCAAAATATATGCTGAAATTCACTCTTATTTTATTTATTTATTTAATTTATATGCCGCCCACTCTACCCAGAGGTCTCTGGACGGCTTACAATAACTATCTAACTATCTAATTGTAATAACTTACAATAACTTCTAACTATCCATGAGGGCTATCATGCTCGCTCTGTCTTCTCCATTTCAAAACAAAAAGGGAAAAATTCTCTAAGAAAAATAAAGAAGTCAAATCACTCTTCATTTGGGTTCTGATATACCAAATGAAGAGCAATGGACTAACATTTCTGCATTAGCACTGGTATTTTTCAATACAAAACATAATCCTTTCAATTGATTTAGTTTCCACATACTTACTCTGGCATTTTCTCAGCTCGCTGTTCTATTTGTTCAATAAGTGTCTAAAGAAACAAGGAGAAAAAAGTTTCCATATGCAAAAACGTGAAAACTACCTTAAGTACTTCAACTACAACTGCCTTTCTTGTTTTGTCTAATTTGTTTGTTAGGTCTGCAAATAAATAATGGCTACTCCTAGATCACCTCAGCACCAATGTCTGTACACTAACATCACTCTATTGAGCTAGAATTTCTCTGCTTCACCAGTTGTCAATTAAGGGAAACTGTAGCATTCACATTAATTTTACTCTGAACTCAACTGCCAACATAGACCATGTGGCAACTCTGATAATCTCTCAGTACCTAAGCTGCTACTACCTAAAACACGAGCATCACATTTTGAGGAGGATATAACAACAACAACCTTAGAACTGCAGACGCTACTACCTAAAACACGAGCATCATATTTTGAGGAGGATATAACAACAACCTTAGCACTGCAGAGCTGAAAGAGACCTTATGGATCATTGAGTCAAGCCCCTATTGAGGAGTCACAGTGGGGAACTGAACTCCCACCCTCTGGTTCCGCAGCCACATACCTAAACTACTGATCGATCGATTGATCAGACCCCCCTCCCCACTCGAATCAGGAAAACTCAGGCCACATACCTAAAGTACTGATCGATAAATCGATCAGACCCCCTCCCCACTCGAATCAGGAAAACTCAGACTGCGTACCTGAGGAAGAAATTTATTTCAGGGGTTGTGGACTAGTGGTTTGATGTGGGGACAGAGAAGTCTCACAAGGGCTTCATCTCTTCACTTGATGGATGGTCAAATTCAGCCCAGAGAGGGACCTTCCCCTAAGCCACCTGACTTTTATGAGCCACGAAAAGAAAAAAATGGGAGGGAACAAAGCTACTGCCTACATAATATCTGATGCACCTAGAGATTAATCAGTAGATTTTAGAATGGAGGGATAGTAACTTAAGATATAGCAGGTCCCCCATATCCGCTTGGGATTGGTTCCAACGCCCACACATGGGTACTGAAAACCGTGGATAAAAGGGGAAAAAAAAGGAAAAATTATTTTCACATGTATTTCCAGAACTGAATACTAGAGAGTGCTAGAGATCATGCACAGTCTCTTGCTCCATCTTGTGGCCAATTCTGGTAATACATGTGAAAATAGTGGGCTTTTCCCCCTTTTAACATTTTTAATATTTTCAGACTGTGGATAAGTGAATCAGTGGATACTGATCCAGTGGATAAGGGGGGTCCTACTGTATCTTTTTCTTGAACAGTTGTGCAGTTACGTTTTCAGTGCAGCGCTGTTTACTACAGAAACCTGAACTTTTTGGGAATGGAAGCTTGCTTTACCTCAAACATCCTGGAAATATTTTGTTTCAGATATTGCAAGGTAAGACCATTCCCCAGAGCACTACAAAAACCTGATATTGCAAGGTAAGACCATTCCCCAGAGTACACTGGGGTATTAACTAAGTCCTAATTAAAGCAAGATGTTTAAAGTGATACGTTGAGATTTTTTGAAAAAGCACAAAGCTTAAAAATCAAGCAAAGAAAAGAAATGCCCACCCAGAAGATCCTCACTAGCTTTCCTTGAGAGAAGGGTGAGCAGTGGCAAGGCAGGTGTAAAGAAAGTGGGTAATGTTGGAAGGAGACTCGCCAACCTCTTGACATAAACTTCTCTTTACAGTGGGGTCTTGACTTGAGAACTTAATCCGTATTGCAAGGCGGTTCTCAAGTCAAAATGTTCTCAAGTCAAATCTGCATTTCCCATAGGAATGCACTGAAAACAATTTGATCCATATCTGCTCTTTTCCGTCCATAGAAACTAATGGGAAGCTGCTATTCTACCTACGACCACTAGAGGGGGATATTTTGTTTCTTTTTTTCTTAGGTCAAGAAAGGTTCAGGGAAGGCAGGGAAAATACTGTCCAGGCAGCACCAGGCAGTCTGAAGACTCCCAATCCACTCTCTAAACGCTGGGAGGCGTGAGGAAGCAGACAGGCACCCTTTTCACTGGCCAACAGTTAACTGAAAGTTCAAATTTTGCACTTTCCCTGCCTCCCACGTGGTTTTTTTTAGTTCTTAACTCAAATCTAAGTATGTAAGTCAAGTCAATATTTTCCTATGAGAGTGGTTCTTAAGTCAAAATGTTCTTAACTCAAGGTGTTCTTAAGTCAAGACCCCACTGTATTATGAAGCCTGACCTGTTCTCTTCTTTTATATCCTTCACTTCTCAAAAAGAACAGATCTAATGAACTGCTTCCAAAGGTTATGAAGACAGGGGAAGAGTGACCTTACAATGGAAATTGAGTTAAATACTATATATCCTACTTTTTGTAAACAAAAAAAAGAAGGAAAAGCGATTTACAGTACAAGAACTTGTACATGATTTAATTGAGCAGTACATTGCAAACCAAAGAACATTCCAAGAAGATCAATTCTTCCCAGGGAGATTAGCACACTTTTGATCACCTCTGCCATGTTACTTACTCTGACTTTGGGTGCAGCAGCTCTGAACTTTACATAAAATAAAGTGAAGGCATTATCTGAATGTGGTGCAACAGAAGGGTCCTAAAAGAAAGAGACAAACATATTTCTGTAAATATTCCTTATAATAAACTACGATAAGGCAACAGAAGAACCTCAGCAGAGGATACATACTGCAGTGCACATAACTATAGTGAAATACATTATAAATATAATATAGCATATAAAGAAAAGCCAAGAAACTATGAGTGCTTAAGAAAATATAGTGTGTAGTCTAGATAAACAAACAGCCCACTAGTGTAAGTATTAATATGATTTACCCTAGAACAGACTTTAAAATTAAGAAGTTAATCAGCTGTTCTTCAAAAACTTTATATGCAATGTTTCTGCTAATTCAGTATGGCAATAAATCTGTTTTGTGGTCATATATTGTGGTTTTGGAATCGCTGTTTAAAGCCTCAAATTACTGATGTCTACAATTAACAGAGCATATATAGGGGACTTTTAAAAAGCATCTGAAACTGGTTGAGGCCTTATTTGATGCTCTCAACTGCTGTAGTAAAGACAAGAAGTAAGATAAACTAAAATATGATAGTGGAGCAGGGGCAGTGTTCCACTAAAGAACAAAGCATCACTTCAGGAAAAAACCACCGCATTACACAGATGTTGATTAAAAAGCAGAGTTTCATATTGATACTATTATAGTTAACACTGACGGAAATCTTGCTGTTCAGTCTAGTAACTCATAACTAAAGTAGGCTGATCGAATCAATAGAACTTGAGAAAGGAGGTGACTCACCAAACCTCTACTAATTCAATGGCCCTACTTTAGCTGCAACTTACTACACTAAGCAAGAGGATTTCAGCCACTAAAGTGAAAAACAACTAACTACACACTAGAAAGAATAACAGCAGCCTTAGGAATGCAATTAACAAATAAAAAGAGGTGCAATAGAGGGTAACTGGAACAGAAGAAAAGGAGAAGTGAGGAGAGCAGCCAACAAATGGAATGAATTGAACTTTTCATTGAAACAATGTTTCTGACAGACATCTATACTGTACAGTATAGTGCTCCTCAGATGCTTCCTCATTTTATCATTTTTTTCCTTCCCACAAGATTCCTACAGATGCTGTGCAGCCTTAAAGACTATGTTCATTTGAATGTGATAATAGCAACTTTTTTCCAACTTCTCAGAACTTATACATATGCAGTACCCTATTCAAAGGCTGACTGGAAGCTTAATCCTACCAAATCTGAGCAGATTCCTTCTTTTTAAGTATCTTGTGGCTACTGACTACCCTACCACCCTGAACACACCAACCTTGTTCTATTTTGAAAGCTACATGGCTTAGGACTCCAGAGACCTGTTAATGAGTACTTTCAAGTATCTGCAGGGAGGGTAAAAAAAGAATCTTGCCTGAAACCCCTAGACAGCCAGAACTAACAATACTGTGCTAGATAGGCCAATGATGGACTCAATATAACACAGTTCCCCCATATACTCATAATACATTTTGTGAGTCTATTAACTGCACTGTGAGTTCCACAAAATGCTTTTTAGTCAGTGTTAATGAGTACTTTCAAGTATCTGCAGGGAGGGTAAAAAAAGAATCTTGCCTGAAACCCCTAGACAGCCAGAACTAACAATACTGTGCTAGATAGGCCAATGATGGACTCAATATAACACAGTTCCCCCATATACTCATAATACATTTTGTGAGTCTATTAACTGCACTGTGAGTTCCACAAAATGCTTTTTAGTCAGTTGCCAAAAAACCGATGATGGACTCAGTATAACACAGTTCCCCCATATACCAAAGCTTACTCATAATACGTTTTGTGAGTCTATTAACTGCACAGTGAGTTCCACAAAATGCTTTTTAGTCAGTTGCCAAAAAAGAATCACAGAAATGTAGTGTTGGAAGGTAAATGTAGAGCTAGATCATAAAGTTTAACCTGACCTACAGGCTGTATTCTGAGATCACAAGTAGCTTATTTTTCACTCTGTGCTTATCTTGTTGCTTTAGACTAATGCCAATTCTAAGAGGGTTTTCAAAATATGTGAAGTGCTCATGCCAATTCTACGAGGGTTTTCAAAATATGTGAAGTGCTCAAGGAGTAGTGAGCTTCCATTGCTAAACTTGGATTTGAACCCAGGTCTTCTCCAGTACTCTACAATAATTTAACACTACAACATTGCTCAAGCATCAAAAAGCAACATTTGGAAAAACACCTTATTTAGAAGATATTCCAAGAAGCTTTAGTTCAACCAAGTTTCATATTCAGTCCATATAAACTACACATGTACTGTTTTTTCCAACTTACCCTTTTAATTAATTGATTGGTGAGGTTCTGCAGTGTATTCACAATGTATGTTTTCATGAGGTGCACAGCTTTTGAAAGGCATTGTTTGTACTTTGACAAATAGACAGAATAGTCTCTAAAACTTGGCTGAAAAAAAGAGTAAGAAAAAGGTTTTTTTTTAAAGTACTATTAAAATAAAACTTGGAAGGCATATAAAAGCTGAAATCCTTTTACATAGTTATGCAAATTGTGAAAACAAATGGACATAAATTAAGAAATCTCTGTACACATTATTTGTTACACACTAAGTAGTGGAACTCAGCATCCAATATATGGCTATGGAGATTGCTTAACTTACAACAATTCACTTCTAAAAGTTGCAGTTTGCATAACTGTGCAATAGGATTTCAGCATAAAAGCTGAAATCCTTTTACATAGTTATGCAAATTGTGAAAACAAATGGACATAAATTAAGAAATCTCTGTACACATTATTTGTTACACACTAAGTAGTGGAACTCAGCATCCAATATATGGCTATGGAGATTGCTTAACTTACAACAATTCACTTCTAAAAGTTGCAGTTTGCATAACTGTGCAATAGGATTTCAGCCAATGGATACTCTATGGAGATTGCTTAACTTACAATTCACTTCTAAAACTTGCGGTATGCATAGCTGTGCAATAGGATTTCAGCCAATGGATACTTATGCTTTGAATCACAAAAATTTAAATTCTCTAGACCTTTCCCTAGAACAGTTTATCAATGTCTCTCCTACACCATAAGAAATGCATGTATTTTAAGATGAACTTTTAAAAGCAAGACATTACATATCAGAACAGCAAAGAAATGGGCAGCAATATAAAGCATGATGCCTTGAAATATGGATTATTTATTATTATTATTTTATTTAAATAAGAGGCAATAAAGAATGCAATGGAGATGAGTATAGAGGTGTACTATCAAGGATAGCAGAGCTCATGTGCAAATAAGTTAATAAATCCACATTTTGGAAAAAGAAGAGTACACTTGGAAGTTTGCCATCAGTTTTATTTTACTTCCTTATACATATATTTATTGCACTCTTGAACTACCACTAACCAAAGTTACCTGTACATAGTAGCACATTTCTATATTTTATCTTATAATCAAAGCTGAGTTCCACAAGAAGTCAAGCATGAAGTGGGGAAAGCTACAGTTTATGAAACACAAGAATCCTAGTTTTGAAACACAGGTTCACTGCTTATAGCCACTTTAAATCTCAAACCATGGAAGTGCTGCAAGGTTTCCATGAAACAAGGTCTCACTAGTCCTGTATAAAACCATTCTGAAGCTGGACTATTCCTGGCCCCTTCTGTCAATCAGTCAAGTTGTATTTTGTTGCTCTTTCAATCCATTAGCTTTGCAAGATATATTCTGAAAAGCAGAATTTAGTGTATCCACCCCCCACAAAACAGAATTAGGACGTCTTTGACAGATGATGTTATGAAAAATTAATGCTTCCCTGGATGCAAGACATTCGGGTTTCCATATCTTGTAGACAGAGAAGAAGAATACATCAAGTTCAGCAAACAGTTCTAGACTGCAAGTCAAGTCACCAAAGAGAAAAGGATCCACAGCATTTTTATAGACCTTGTGTAGCTAGCAAGAACCAGCAGAAAATACAAGAAATTGATACAGAAGTGTTCTCTTTGCTGTTCTGTCATTGGATTTCCTTGGGGTAAAAGTCAGTGAAGCATAGAACTAAGCATCATAATGTAACATAAAACTAAGCGTGACTTACATGTGAAGAAATATATGCTATACAATCATCAAGTTTAGCCAACATAGGGATGAAACCATCACTGTTTACAGATAACGTAGGGGAATTCAGTTTCTTCAAAAGAGAAAAAAAAATAGAAGCATCAATAAAAGACAACAGCAAAAGACATCTCAAGTATTACTAATTATGTGATTTCTTTATTAGAAGATGCTAAATTTTTAAATGCGAAATTATTCTGCTTTGATATTTTTTATTCTACAAATACCAGTACAGTTGAGAGTTCTAAAACCAGAAAAATCATCCTCTTCTCTGTTAAAAAAACAGGAAAAAGTATGCCAAAAAGCTGAGACAAAATGTTTATGACCCCAAGGACAAATTTTCCACCCAACATTTACAACAATTACAATCTTTGCATGGAAGATCATTATTCCTTAAGTAGCCAAAATAGTACTTGCACATAAAAAGGAGGACTCAGCAGGCTGCAGCAATCCTTATATTTGCAGAAGTAAAAAAATATTTAGATATAATGCATACTTTGCATCACAGATTGTCTGGACCACAGTTTTAAAAATGCCAATTGTTCATTAACCCATCTAACTTTAAATCATTCAAAAAAAGTTAATGAATTTTAAGTGAAAAACAAGTGGTGATATTTTCTGTCAACAAATACTTACTGTATTAATATTTTCCAGTTCATTAAAATATGACAGTTTCTGATGGATATTTTCTGCCAAGTCCACAAGCTCTGACTATTCAAAAAGAAATCAAACTATTATTAGCAAGCAGCTAACAACGTACAGTGGACCCTCTACTTAAGGAATTAATCTGTATTGGAATGGTGGCTGCAAGCATTATTAGCAAGCAGCTAACAACGTAAAAGACTACAGTGTTCCAGGTGCCTCACAGAAGTCACCGCTGATCTGCTACAGTGTTCCAGATGCCTCACAGAAGTCACCGCTGATCTGCTGATCATTGTCTTTTACTGCACAATGGTTTATACAGTGGTGCCTCACTTAACGAGCGCCCCATTTAACGACGAATCCGCATAGCGATTAAGTTTTTGCGATCGCAAAAGTGATCGCATTGCGATGTTTTAGATAGGAAAAAATTGCTTTGCGATGATCGGTACGCTGTTTCGCTTACCGATTATCACATAGCGATGTTTTTTTAACAGCTGATCGGCGGTTCAAAAATGGCTGCTGGGTTAAAAAAAATGGCCGCCCGCTGTGTTTTCACGCGGTTTCCTCACTTCCCGGGCAGCGAAAATGGTTGCCGTATGGAGGATTTTCGCTTTAAGGTGAGTTTTTTGCCCACAGGAACGCATGGGTTTTTTATTTCCGGATAGCTACGAATCCGCATAGCGACGATTTTTGCGGAACGGATTATCGTCGCTATGCGTGGCACCACTGTAGTTGTATTTCAGTTTTTGACTTTTCAATTGCATTTAAAAGTATATTGCAGTATTTCATAGGTGTGTGTGATAAGGAACGTATGCGATAAAACTATTATTTCTAGTACAAGGCCTTCCTTCATTTCCGCGCTTACCGGGCAGCGAAAATGGTCGCCGTATGGGGGATTTTCGCTTTAAGGTGAGTTTTTTGCCCATAGGAATACATTAAACGGGTTTTAATGCATTCCTATGGGCTTTTTATTTCCGCATAGCGACGAATCCGCATAGCGACAATTTTTGTGGAACGGATTATCGTCGCTATGTGGGGCACCACTGTCTTTGTATGCTCAGGTTGGACTTTTCAATTGCATTTAAAAGTATATTGCAGTATTTCATAGGTGTGTGTGATAAGGAACGTATGCGATAAAACTATTATTTCTAGTACAAGGCCTTCCTTCAATGAGCATGTCTTGCATAGGTGTGCACCTCTGCATTATACACACACTCTGTCTTTGTATGCTCAGGTTGCATGCCTCAGATGGGGTGGTGGTGGTAAGCATTCATTTAAGCGGGTGGATGGATAAACCCCGATGCCTCACTACTAGAGCCTTCCCATTTCTCCCAAGTTGATCTCTACCTCAATTTTTTCCAAGTGCACATTTTATCTCCAACAACACACTAAAAACAACCACCCTTGTGTGTGTGCACATGTGCATTTGCATTAGTCTCTCAGTCTTTTTTTAAGGAGAAAAGAGGGACATAAAATAAAATTTAAAATGTACCTGTGTCTATATGGCTCACGAGCATGCACTAGACTGCTTGCACACTGATGTCTATCTAGGGGAAATCTTACTGTTTTCATGGGTTGTAATCTGACAATGACTTCTGAAAAAGTGAGCCACAGTCCACAGAACATGTTATGTGAAAATGGGTTAGTCCTTAAGATGCCACAAGACTTCTTGTTTTTACTTTCTCAGACTAATATGGCCAACTCCTGGAACCCCTTCTGTATTTTTATCTCTCTATTCCTGATGGGAGGAAACTGTTAATGGGGGAAAGTGTGATTTGAACGAGGAATTTCTCAATTCGTAGCTTCATCTTTGATAGTGTGCTGTACTGAACCATCTCTTATGAATCACTGTATACTTCATTTGTCTCACAGTTTAAGAGAGATATTGGCAAAGTGCAGACAGGTTTCCCCTCAGGTTCACTTCTGTGGCTGCTGTCCTCTACTTTCCGGGCTGAAAGGTACCTTTGGAGCTATGGTTAGATATTGCGAAGAAAAATGACCTCAGGACTCTTGAAAGTTAACCTGCTCCATTTAATTTTTTCCTATAGAGGCAGCTCAGTTTAACAGCTTCTTTAAAAGAACCTACCTAATAACCAACTGATACAGTAAATTACCTAGAAATATGAAATTGATGTTTAGGCATCAATTCAATAATGTACAAGCCTAGGAAATTAGAACATGATTTAGTTGAACTATTTTTTCCAAACTAAATCTGAAGTTACCTGCTCTTTCAACAGCTGCTCACAGGCTTCATGCAGTGTTCCTGTTTTGGTTGAGACAAAGAGATATTGCTTCTTTAATGACTCTAGATGCTGAAGAGCATTGTTCACATCACTCAGTATGGCATCACACTGCTCTTCAAATCCAGATAAATAAGCCCTTGTCTGCCTAGTGAGATAAAAAGAGACATACAGGATGAAATAATGTAAGGGTCTGAAAAACAATAAGAAACTGTTTTTGACAGATTCATTTATCCATACTCCTGCAGGAATCTGTCCATTCACAGATATCACTTTTTGAGACCTTTCTCAAGGCATCTCTGCATCTGCACTGCAACAGGAGCAAAAAAGGAATGAGTGGGAGACAAAGAACCTTTCTCCACGGTGACTTGCAATGCTCTCCCTGAGTCCAGTAGTTTCATTTTCCCTTTATTTCAATTCCTGCAAGGAAGTAACTCAAGATATTTCTCCGTTACTTAAGTCACACAAAAACCTTTGGTTCTTTTAGCTAAAACTCCCAAATATAAACAAGATATACTGGCCTTTGATAAATTGTAAGGAAGATGTTCAACAGTCCCCTAATTAAAATCTATAATAGAAAAACCAACTCCAACCCACAATTCTCTCCTAAACTTGCATTTCTGCTCACATTTCTTGCATAATCCATGATTAGAGATGGCGACAATCTTGGGTCGTCATATCATGCTGGATTGTCATTGCAACACCACAGATGCCGCACATTCCCTTTCTCCAACACCCCCAGCTGGTGTTCCCACTCATGAGGCGGAAATCACTCTACTTCCACTCCTGTTTAGACATCTGACCAGTTATGGTAGGAGCATGGACTTCTGTGCCTCCTCCAGCAGCTGGCCACTCAGATGAGGAGGCAGGGCAAGAATTGCTGCTACATAGCCTTCAGGTGGCCAGCTGCTGGAAGACAAGAAGGGAAGTCCATGCTCCTGCTGTGACTGGTCAAACACCTGAGAGGAGCAGAAGAGCAGCGTGCACTGCCTCGTGAGTGGGAGAATCCGGCTGGGGGGTTGGAGAAAAGGAATGTGTGGCACCTGTGGTGTTGTGACGACGATCCAGCACGATCTGATGCTGCTACACAGCCTTCAGGTGGCCAGCAGCTGGAAGACAAGAAGGGAAGTCCATGCTCCTGCTGTGACTGGTCAAACACCTGAGAGGAGCAGAAGAGCAGCGTGCACTGCCTCGTGAGTGGGAGAATCCGGCTGGGGGGTTGGAGAAAAGGAATGTGTGGCACCTGTGGTGTTGTGACGACGATCCAGCACGATCTGATGACCCAGGATTGTGTCCATCTCTATCCATGATATCAAGCACCATCATGCAGGCCATTTTTGCAAGAATCTTCATATGGTGTCTGAAAGGAAAGCACACTCAAATATCCTCTCAGACTTCACCTCATAAAGCTACAATGGTGCCTCGATTTATGACCATAATCCATTCCAGAAGATGGACACAACTCAAAATGGTCATAAGTCGAAGCACCATTTCCCATAGGAATGAATTAAAATGCCGAAGGGAAAAAAATCACAAAAAATTAAAATAAAAAATCACTGCAAGACTCATTGGAAACACAATTAATCCCTCCCAGCCCAAGGGGGGGGGACAGAAAAGCAATCAAGTGTGCAAGACCCATCGGAAATGGGGGGAACCCCAAAAAGCAACCAAACCCCCCCAAGGCCCATCAGAAACGGGGAAAACAACAAAAAAGAACAAAAAGAAACCCCAAGACCCATTGGAAATGGGGAAAATACTCTAAAAGCAACAAAACCCCCAAAGACCCATCAGAAATGAGGGCAAAAAACAAGCAAACCCCCCAACCCATCACAGCAGAGAAACCTAACCCCCCCAGCCCAAAACCAACGCTGCAAAACTACTCAGAACAGTTTTTTAAAAGCAGAAAACAGCACCTTACCTTACCAGGCAGTCCCAAGCCTCCCTGCAAACACACACACACTCACTCAGAAGCAGAAGCCAGGCAGTCCCATGCCTCCTCCAACAAGGCCCACTCTCTAACTGCTGGGGCAAAAGAGCCTTACCTTACCAGGCAGTCCCAAGCCTCCCTGCAAACACACACACACTCACTCAGAAGCAGAAGCCAGGCAGTCCCATGCCTCCTCCGACTACACACTCTCTAACTGCTGGGGCAAGAGAGCTACAAAGAAGCAGCCTCATCACCACCTACAGTTAGAAATTTGAATTTCCTGCCCTTTTCCCCTGCCTTTTTCTGTTCATAAGTGGAAGCTCCGGTTGCAAGTAAAAGCAAAATTTTGCAGCTGGAGCTGGTCGTAACTTGAAATGGTCGTAAGTAGGGACGTTCGTAAGTCGAGGCAAGACTGCACTCCAATAAGCTAAAAACATGCTATTTAGTACCACAGGACCTGAGTCAATCAGAATGCTATCTCACTGGATCCTATTAACCTTGCTTGGGTAAATTCTGTTTGCTCCCCTACTAGATGGTACCCATGGAGCTAACATGAAGAAAGATAGTACACCAACTTGCTAAAACTAATTTTAAGAACTCTGAAAAGCACAGAAATCAGTTAGAATATATATACAATTTTGGCTAGAATCCTATGACCTTATTGTGTCAGAGAATAATGCAAGTTACATAAATGTTGGTGGAGAACTGCTACAAGTTTAGATATCAGCATAGGTATTCGCTCTTGGGCAGCAATCTGCACAACACGTTGTGCAACAGCAAATGCCTATACTGATTTTTTTATTTGTCACTGAAATTTACACTGTTATGCCAGTGGGCACAACTACTAGGATGCTGGCCTAAAAAACTGGAATTGGTAACACAGTTTTAATTATGCACTTCATTTTGTACTCTCACTCACACCTTTTGGGTTCAATGTTCTCATATCTGTGGGTGATTTCACAGTAATGTTTTTACCAGGAGCTGCAGTGGCTACTACTTCCACAGCAGAAGCAGATTGGAGCTAGAAGGCAAGTTGTGAGGAGGGTGCTACTAAAGTTAAAATCCACTCGTCACTGGTGGCTCTCCTCAGCATTGCTCAAAGGGGTCTTAAGTAGAGTGGCAGGGTGCAAATCACCAGATAGCCTGAACAACTGGGGAGCCCTTTGCAGTGGTTTGGTCCTCAAGGCAAGTGCAAAACACGGGAAATGGGCCATACTTTCAATTAGCTGAAACTCAAGGCAACCTGCCTGGCCCTTCTGAGCTTCAGCCCAAAAGTCAGGGAAAGGGATGTGTTGATATGAACAGAGAACACGTCAACAAAAAGTCACATCATGAGACAAGGAGGCACATGTCTGCAGTCTAAAATTTGGTTTCCATCATGGCTATCCATGCAAAGAGATTATTCCACATTCAGGCAGACTGACTGAATCACAAAGATGTAGACTTGGGGGTGTGGTCTCTCCATCCTCAAGTGTTCCTATCTATAGTGACAAGAACAAGGATGGCTAGAGAAGATCTATTTGCTTTCCCCTAAAACTCCAAGGTGCAGACGTTCTGCTTGTCTCTTCTAGTTCTTTACCAGCTTCCAGTCCCCATAGGCGTGGAAGGCAGATGGTCTGTTCAATCTGTGGGTCAGGGTTTTCTGTTATGCTTTTCCTTGCATCAATCTCCTATCCAGAGTACTCAGAAAGACCCAAATAGAAAAAAAGCAGGACTCATTCTGATGGCTCCTCACTGGTACTCAGATCTCATCAGATACTCTCTGTCACTGATGCCAGAGAAAGGGGCTTGATTGTTATAGCCCTCTACTTCAACGTGACAGGCTACAGCTTTATGCCCTGGGTTTAAAAAGACTGCTTGTCTCTTGTAGTTCATCCAAATGTAAATTTCTGAAAAGGAGCTATGGCTCTAAGACCACTAGTAGTTTACAGGTCTCTACCTTGGGATTTGCAGCTGGTCCTGAAAACACTGACCAGGCCTCCATCTGATCCTCTGAGAAAGACTTCTTTGACATTCCTATCCCGGAAAACTTTATTTCCTAATATCCAGGCTCACCATATCTTGGAGCTGGGTTATCTTTCAGTTAGGTGTAAACTGTTCGTATTCCTATATGTTTAAATGATCCTGTGTTTAGGCCCAGATTAGAGTTATTCCATGGGGTGGAGTGAGCTCCCATCACTTGTCCCAGCTCCTGCCAACCTAGCAGTTCAAAAGCATGTAAAAATGTGAGTAGATAAATAGGTACCACCATGATGGGAAGGTAACAGTGTCTAGTTGCACTGGCCACGTGACCATGGAAACGATCTATGAACAAACACGGGCTCTTCGGCTTGGAAATGGGGATGAGCACCGCACTAACAAACACGGGCTCTTTGGCTTGGAAATGGGGATGAGCACCGCCCTCTAGAGTCGGACACAACTGGACTATATGTCAAGGGGAACCTTTGCCTTTGCCTAGAGTTATTCCATTACGACCAGGAAGTAATTTTATCATCCTTTTTTATCTCATCCCAGGTCTGAAAGGAACATTCAATGGCATTCCTTTTATGTATACAGAATATGATCTATGTATACAGCCTATATAAATACCTTTAGACTATCGATTTTGTGTTTATTTCCTTTCAGCGGGCCACCTTGGGGCATGAGATTTCCTTTTGTACCTTTTCTAAATGGCTGAAGATTGTATCAACTTGTGTTATTGTTGGTCCTCATTGCAGATACCAGAAGGCATCCTGACTAACTCGACGAGGAATGCAGCTACACTGGCAGCCTTTGATAAGGCAGCCTCTCTGGTACAAATTCATATGTAGAGTCATCATTTGGGTATCATCATCCACCTTTTTTACACATTACAAGATAGGACTCTTTGCTCTCACAGATGCCTTTGGGAGACAAGCCTTTGGGTCTTGCAGAACATCATGTCTTAAAAGTAGCAGAAAAACATATTGCTTCCATCTGGGTCTTAAGCTTTGGTATATGTCATGCTAGACTACGCTCCTCCTACCATGAAGTGTTCTTTTCTGCAGTGCAGTCCTACCCAATCGTTCAGGACATATATAGACATTAACCATGAACTTGATCCAGGCAGAGTTACCGTATTTTTCACTCCATAAGACGCAACAATTTTTTAGGAGAAGAAAACAGGAAAATATAATGTTTTCTTCGCTCCATAAGACGCACAGACTTTCCACCCCCCTGTTTTGTGAGAAAAAAGTGCGTCTTATGGTGCAAAAAATACGGTAATTGTAATATATGTTGTGTTTTAGTGTGCTACAAGCATTTATTAGGAAATAGCATTTTGTTTCTTCATGGAGCCTGTTTATGGAACGGGAGGGGGGGGGAGCTGTTTTCTGTTAGAAGAAAGCAATCCAAAATGGATTGACATTTTATAGTAGGAAGAGCTCACCTATGGTAAACTATTCTCCTTCCATTGCAGAAAAGAACACCTTAAGAGAAGTCCAACTTTCCTTTTTGCTTATGAGGCCCTGAACAGTAAACACCCATCTGGGCTCTTCCTGATTACTTCTTTATAACGGCTATTTGTACCCTTTCTGGGCATGGTATGGTCAATGGGGGCTTGAATTTGGCCTCCAAGCTGTCAGACTTTGCCCACTCCTGACCTCAGACATTAACCTGAGCAGGGGCTACTCATACACACGTTAAGTCCTTCCAGCCTTGTTTTGTACCTTGTTAGCAAGGTACAAAACAAGCCACCTGTTAGAAAATCAAAAGAATAAGATTCCAAGGGATCCAATTAACAATGGGAAATTAAATCAAAGCACAATACATTCTATAATGTACACAAACTGGGACAAAACATCACATAGCCTGAAATTCACAAGACTTGTACTAATGGCAAAATTGCAAAAGGAAGCCTCTGAACAGCCTCAACCTGCCACTGCCTAAAACTCCATTCCTGTGGCACAGGTAGACCTTGCCCGACAAGATTTCAGCCACTGGGTATTCAAAATGCCATCAGTGATGGATGCTATGCTTCCATAATCAAATACAACTGAGAGAAGAAAGTCATACACACACCTGTATTTAGCACCTTCCTCTTGATCCATCTGGGTACGGAGCTGATCAAACAGTGAGAAAAACTAGGGGGGAAAAAAGAATTCCCATTTCATTACAATTGCTATACTATGCAAAAAAGAAACATAAGCTAATAGCACTTCCAGTTGCATTAGAGAGTAAAACTGAATCAAACGTTGATTGAACGTTACTTCATAATGCATCTCAAAGTGCCATAAACCCCTAGGTAACACTGTGAAACTGCACACATTGCCATCCTTGCTCAGCTTCCTGCCTACGCCAATAAGGTACACTCTCCCCTATGAGAAGGGTAAGTGGCGACTACAATGCCTAGCCTGATCAGCACGGCAGTCAGAAGCAGCAAACCTTTGAATATACTGTATAGTGGGCATTAAAGAAATCTAGAGATAATCTTGTTGTTGTTGTTTAGTCGTTAAATCGTGTCTGACTCTTCATGACCCCATGGACCAGAGCACGCCAGGCCCTCTGGTCTTCCAGTGCCTCCTGGAGTTGGGTCAAATTCATGTTGGTAACTTCAGTGATACTGTCCAACCATCTCGTCCTCTGTCATCCCCTTCTCCTCTTGCTTTCACACTTTCCTAACATCAGGGTCTTTCCCAGGGAGTCTTCTCTTCTCATCAGATGGCCAAAGTATTGGAGCCTCAGCTTCAGGACCTGTCCTTCCCAGCGTAGGGGACTTCCTTCAAAATGGACAGGTTTGTTCTCTGCAGCGTAGGGGACTCTCAAGAGTCTCCTCCAGCACCCAAATTCAAAAGCATCAATTCTTCAGCAGCTAGCCTTCTTTATGGTCCAGCTCTCTCTTCCATACATCGCTACTGGAAATACTTTGCAAATGCGGACCTTTGTCGGCAAGGTGATGTCTCTGCTTTTTAAGATGCTGTCTAGGTTTGTCATGGGTTTCCTCACAAGAAGTAGGCGTCTTTTAATTTCATAGCTGCTGTAACCATCTACGGTGATCATGGAGCCCAAGAAAGTAAAATCTGTCACTGCCTCCATATCTTCCCCTTCTATTTGCCAGGAGGTAATGGGATCAGTGGCCATGATCTTAGTTTTTTTTTTTTATGTTGAATAATCTTGTTACCCCTGGATATGTATGGTAGAAAAACAAAGATGTTGAAGAGGACAGTGTCCAGTAGTAAGGTGTTACTGTGGATAGAAATACTTCCAGATAACCTAAATGACAAAGACTTAGAATAGTTCAGCAAAGAACTGACTAGAGAGGATGCAACATTAGAATTAGATCCTAGAACCAAGACGAGGATAGTAGCTGCAGAAGACAGCATTCTGGACAAACCAGTCCCAATAGGTTCAAATTGTTTTTTTCCATATGACTTGAAAACACATTGGATTGGAAAGAACTCTGGAGACTTCCAGAAATAAGATAATGAGCCAAACTTTTCTATATTTGTTATGTTACGTGCTATCACGTCAGAACCGACCTACAGCAAACTTAACAAGACTTTCAAGGCAAGTGAGGTATTTAAGGAGTGGTTTTACCAGTTCCACCTCCAGTGAGCTTAAACCTAAGCTTCCCAAGTCCTGGTCAATCTCTCTATCCACTACACCACAACGCCTATCTCTTCCTCATTACTGTTCTTAAAATACTGTAACTGCTTTAAACGTTTGAGTGACATTCAACCAAAGCTTTTGGAGGGAAGAGGGGTTTACCAAGAGCAATGAGAAGTAGGAAAAAAAATTACACTGCAGACTGGTGACACTTCCAGAGCAATGACAGCTAGGCTGCGAAGCAGCTGGTGTTTTACCATCTATTTCTTGAACAACTGAAGACAATGTCAGAGAAAATTACTAAACCAGACTCAGGCAGGGCACTTTATGGGCTTAATCCAAGGGGCTGCCCTGATAGTGGAGATCTTCTCTGTTAAACAAAGTGATGCTTTTGTCTCATCTTAACTTCCCTATACCCCATCACTACCATTCTCTAGTGAGAATTTTTTTATTGCTCTATCCACTAAGAGCTCACATGCATTGACTTTAGATATATACATTTAGACATATAAAAAAATTTACCTGCTGAGCAGTTTCAATTCTTTCACTTTCCATACCCAAAGCAGAGAACCCTTTCAAAAGGATGTCCTCTCTGGATTCTGGCACAGTGGCTGTCAACGTTACAGTTAATGACGGTTGCCCAAGACTGCTTAAATCTTCAATGGGAAGCTGTTCAGAGATATCAAGAACTGTAGTGAATGATGGTTACATTGAACAAAAAACACAAAAGAATTATTTCAATTAAATAATGAAATAAACCACACTGTTGCGGATTTTCCCCCCATTTCATCACTATCATCTTAGAATTGCAGAGCTGGGAGAAACCTTATGGAACATAGATTTCAGCCCCATCAAGGAGGCACAGTGGGGAACTGAATTCCTGTCTTCTGGCTCTGCAACCAGATACCTAAACCACTGAGCTATCCAGCACTTTTCTTTGCTGGAATGACTCAAGGTAACATTTACTCAAAAACTGCAACAGCATGAAGCAGCTTCTTTAAGACAAAGAAAGTAAAGTAGTCATGTGAAATGCTATGTGTGCTTGGTTCTGCTTATATCAAGGAATCAAAGGCAACTGTAAGACAATGGGAATTTATGGGAATTTTTGAAATTTAGGTTTGCTGCAGGATACTAAAAACATCTTAGTTTTACTCTATAAATAGTTTAAAACAGACATACATGGGCAAACATCTCAGTGTTGTCACCAAGTGACATATAGAATTTTGTAACTGAATTTTCCTTTTAAAAAATCAAGTAGTGTTAGAGGTATGACATTAAATTGCACACATGGAAACGTCCTTCTATCTTTAGATATGCATACCAATATTTTCTGAAGGATATGGATGTCTCACGGAATATACTAACAATTCTTCTCAATTCTGATTTCCTGAGACATACTTTACTAGCTTCAACAAGCAACTTCTCTGTAATACATATATTACAAGATCAAATTTTGTACCACAAGTCAAACAGACAGTTAGGTACTAATTTGGACTATTCTCTAGCAAACCAGAACATCATCAGAAGAAAGCAAGCAGCAATCCACAAGTAACGAAAAGCTTCCACTTAATGAAGAAGACAGCACTCATCAAGTGCAGAAATATACCGGATTTGAGTGTTGTATAGCAATGATCATTCTTTAATTCTGCAGACTGTCCAACATTAAATTGCCACACTGCACATTCCTGTTACTTTGAGTGAGCTGAACAGTGGTTAGCAACCTTGGGTCACCAGATGTTCTTGGATTGAAACTCCCAGAAGGCTGCACCACTAGCCATGCTGGCCAGGATTTCTGGGAGTTGTAGTTCAAAAATCTCTGGTGATGCAAGTTTGGGGACCACTGGAGTAGAATCTTGTATTTAAAAGGTTTGTTCATTTTGAATGGGAAAATATTTTATCAGATTATTTGTCTGTTTTCTCAAAGTCCCCAAGGTATTCACTGGAAAAATTAAAAATTCCTTCTAGGGGAAAATTCTGTAGGTGTCTGTGTGCATTTTAATAGGCCATCACCATCTCTCATATCTGCAAAGCAAGTTTGTGTAAGATATGCATACCAATATTTTCTGAAGGATGTGGATGTCTCAAGGAATATACGTACTGACAATTCTTCTCAATTCTGATTTCCTGAGACATACTTTACTAGCTTCAACAAGCAACTTCTCTGTAATACATATATTACAAGATCAAATTTTGTACCACAAGTCAAACAGACAGTTAGGTAACACCACATCAGTTGTCCAATGATGGACAAGGCAGACACGTTTGTCCGATTTTAGCTGCAAGAAAGCAAAACCTCCAAGAATTTGGATTGCTCTTGATGCACCATGAGGAAGATTTTAACAAAACACACACGGAGTTGTGAATGCATCCTTTTTTCGGATCTATGAAGAACAGGAGGCACTTTTGACTGCTAGACAAAGTCAGATTGCCATCCCGCGTTCTCTCTCTCTCTCACTCACTCACTCTCACTCACTCACTCACTCACACACACACTCCTGAGCCGCCTGAAGGACGCACCGAGCGACAGAAAGATAGCACCGTCCCCCCCCTCCCGGCTCGGGCCCTGCCCCCTTCACATCCCCTCGGAGCTTCCCGCCCCCGCCGAAGTCCTGGGATGAGGGCAAAAGGGACGACGCTTCGCCTACCTCGGGCGGGGCGGGTAAGCCAGGCGACGCTTCGCGCAGCTCCAGCACCGAGTCCTGCTGCCGCTCGGTGAGGGGCGCCAACGGCCGCAGGGGCCGTTCCCACAGCCCCAGTCGCTCCCACGCCTCCCGGGCTTCTCCGGGCTGATCCGCCATCCTTTTCCCGCTGGGAGCTGAGCAGGATGCAGGAGAACCAGCCGGAACTTACATGACCCAGAAACGCTTTCGGAGGGAGGAAAAAGAGAAACCAGTCCAGGCCAGTGACGCCACTTCCGTCCTTGGCAGGAAGCAGCTGGCAACGTCGAGTTGGCGACTGCCGAGGGGAAATGTGACCTCTCTAGGCAATGGTTGTCTATCGAATGAGTCCTTTGATTTGTTTTTTTTGTGCCGGACGGAAGTGAAAGCGACACGGAAAAAAACGGTCGGAATACGAAAATATTTAAGGATGCGTCACGAAAGCAGAAGCTTTGTGGCACTTGAGGAACATCTGGGAGAGTGAGTCGCCCCCTTCTTCTGGCACCATGGGCGGGAGACCGAACCGGGCCCCACCCTGATGTTTTATTGGCAACGTCCTGTTCGTGCAAAGGGTGCCTTGGGGAAACACCTGAGCGATGAGGAAAAAGAGTGAACCTTCCCCGAAGATTAAGAAGTCAGGATCCACCAGAGTACAGTGTCTTGCCTGTGCCACCTGAGGCATCCTTCCAAATCTCCGCACAGAGAATGCAACGTATGCACAAGGAAACACCTGGGGCTGCATTGGAGACGGGAGCATAGAAATTTATTTATTTAAAATATTTTAGCCCACTTCTGTTTGAAAAGGACCCAAGGTGGCTTACACCAATGAAAGAGAATATTTGAAGTTGAAAACAATGAGTACACTGTGGTTAACATCACTGAGACAATACAGTGGTGCCCCGCATAGTGATGATAATCCATGCAGCAAAAATCGTTGCAAAGTGATTTCGTCGCTATGTGAAAATAGAAAGCGCATAGGAATGCATTAAAACCCATTGAATGCACTAAAACCCGTTTAATGCGTCCTTGTGGGCTTAAAACTTACCTTTAAGCGAAAATCCTCCATACGGTGGCCATATTCGCTGCCCGGTAAGCGAGGAATCGGCGTGAAAACACAGCGGGAGGCCATTTTTTTACCCAACGGCCATTTTGGAACCGCCGATCAGCTGTTGGAAAATCATCGCTATGCGATAATCGGTAAGTGAAACAGCGAACCGATCATCGCAAAGCAATTTTTTCCCATTTAGAACATCGCAATGCGATAACCTTTGCGATCGCAAAATCTTCATCGCTATCACAATGCGATAACCTTTGCAATCACAAAATCTTCATCGCTATGTGATTTCGTTGTTAAACGGGGCGCCCATTAAGCAAGGCACCACTGTATTTAAAAATACAAACAATGAGTAAATAGTTATCTTACATCACTAACAGGCAATATTACGGCAAAGAACAATAAGTATACTATACACACACGTGTGTGTGTGTGTGTGTGTCAAAGAGCAATAAGTATACTATACACATACAGACACACACATATATGTGTGTATGTATATAGTAATTGCACTTTGTGTATATGTGTATAGTATACTTGTTGCTCTAGACAAAGTCACCCTGCGTTCAGACACACACATCCCCTCCTGAACCGCCTGAAGGAAGCACTGAACGACAGAAAGCCAGCACCGTCCCCCCCGGCCTGCTCGACCCTTTCCCAGCTCGGGCCCTGCCCCCTTCACATCCCAGCCCCTTGGAGCCTCCCGCCCTCGCCGAGGTCCTGGGATGAGGGCAAAGGGACGACCCTTCCCGGCGCTTCGCCTACCTCGGGCGGGGTGGGTAGGCCAGGCGACGCTTCGCGCAGCTCCAGCACCAAGTCCTGCTGCCTCTCAGTGAGGGGCGCCAATGGCCGCCTGGGCCATTCCCACGCCTCCCGCGCTTCTCTCTCTCCGCAGCTCCAGCACCGAGTCCTGCTACCGCTCAGTGAGGGGCGCCAATGGCCACCTGGGCCGTTCCCACGCCTCCCGGGCTTCACACACACGTGCGCGCACACACACACACACACACACACAAGCCACTGAGAAATGGAAAAGACAAGTAATCCACTCAAAGCAGTAATGCATAGCAATGCATCTAAAATCACACACAAGTAGCTGGTTACTGAGGAAAGGCTTGCTTGAAGGGAAAAGTCTTTGCCTGCTTGCAGAAGGACATCAAAGATGAGGCCAGTCTGGTCTCTTATGGGAGGGAGTTTCAAGGTCTGGGAGCAGCATGGGAGGGAGTTTCAAGGTCTGGAAGCAGCAACAGAGAAGGTCTTCTCCTATGTCCCCATCATACACACCTGCAAAGGTAGTGAGACTGAAAGAAAGGCATCTCCTGATTGATAATCTCAACACCCAAGCTGGCTCATAATGGAAGGTACAGTCTTTGAGATAGGTTGGACCCTTGCCATTTAGGGCTTTGCATGGTAAAACCAGCACTTTGAATTCTGACTGGTAACTGGTCAGCAGCCAGTGGAGCTGATGTAACCAGCCCCAGTCAGCAATCTGGCTGCTGCATTCTGGACCCGCTGAAGTTTCCCGACACTTTCCATCAGCAGGCACACAGAACTCATTACAGTAATCCAGTCAGGAAGTAACTAGGACACACATGACAGTGGCCAGATCAGATTTCTCAAGAAACAGACAATATATAAAGAACTTTACTCAGACACTTGTCTGGTAACTGCCAACAGAACGTATTTATTGAAGTGCATTGACTTTAATCAGAATCATAGATGTCCTTTATTCAATGCATACAATCAAATCATTAAACTATCATATATCTTGCCACATAACTAATCACCACCTGCTCTATCAATCTTGACTGGCTTATCTCTGTTAGTATCAGTTCTCACTATCTCCCTGACTATCTTATCTCCCTCTGCGCAAATTCTCTATCTCTTTTTCCTTTTCTCTTTTCTGCCAAACCTTCTTATAACCTTCTTATATCCGCCCCTCCACTCCTCTCATAAGCTCATGCAAATGAGATCTGAATATGAGTGACAGGAGTGACGTGGGGCAATCGTCACATACCTCCCCCCTAGGAAAAGTTTGTTCATGGGGGAAACCTTATAGTTTACCCTTATGAACAACGAAATATGCAGAGAACAATTCATCCAAAACATCATTACACTAATATGTTAGGGACCGGAGTGATGTAGGGAAATCGTCACAACCTCCTATAATTGTTCTAGCACTCTTAAACAGACTAAATGTCAACCCTTGACAATGTTAATTGTTCCTTGTTTCTTGTGATGTAGATCAATCTTATTACTTTAAACATTTAAAACAATTAGTACAATTATAACCATTTGCATTAATTACATTACTACAATTCACATTACTTTTACATTTATACCATTACTTACCATTATTTCAAGAAGACATTGCAGTGTAATTGCATCTCAAAACTAATACGCAAATGGAACATTCCTTACAACATTAACCTTTTTTCCCATCCATCCGTTAGTCCTCTGGTCTTTGAGACAAAGCATCAACCACCATGTTCTGGGTTCCTTTCACGCTGTGAATTTCAAAGTCGAAGTCCTGCAAGAGTAGGGCCCATCTCATCAGTTTGTTATTATTGGACTGAATAGTCCTTAGCCACAAAAGAGGGGAACGATCAGTGCATAGTGCAAAATGTCTTCCCCAGATATATGGTCTCAGTTTTTGCAATGTCCAGACTATGGCTAGGCACTCCCGCTCAGTTGTGGATAAATGCCTCTCACCCGCCTGCAGTT